GTTGTTTCTTCCTCTCCCACGTCTAGAACTTATGTCATGCTCAACTTGCAGAACTTGTTCTTCACTCCTTTTCTCTCTTACTTTTTGTTCATGAACAAGTAGTGAACTCTGCAACTCATCCACGATTATCCTCCCCGAAATTCCTCATGTCATTTGTTGTTTCCATGACTCTTCCAAAATAATCATCCATTGATTCTCCTAGCTTCATATCTAAGGTTTCAAATGTTTGTCGAAACCTCTGTAGCTGCGCGCATTTCACCATAGTATTCCCTTGATACTTGACCTTCATGGATTCTCACATTTGTTTAGCCCTTTCTTTCTGTGGAATAGTCTTGAGGATGTATTTGTTAATGGCATAAAATAGATAGTTTTTTGCTTTCAGATTTTTGAATTTTACTTCATCCAATGCCTTCTGTTGCGCTGTGCTAAACGACTCATTTTTTTTTTGTTCCTGAATTCCATATTCAATGATCATAGTCTCCATCAAATTCGGGCACACATGATGTGGTGAAATTGCTTTAAATTGAGGTACACTCTACTTATCAAATGTGAATTCTAATGACTTTAAATAAACTTTACAAATGCAATGAAAACTACATGAGAGAAAAATTAGGAATAACAAACCCAACAAACTATTAAACATAAACAAACTAATAAGCCTATATTTTAGCAATGTCTAATTTTCTAATTTTTAATATAAATTCTAACAAATTTTAATTTATCAATGTTTTGTTTAATCCACCAATTATATATAAACTAATTTTCTTTTATAAAAATAAAATAAAAATATTATAATATTATAATATTATAATTTAAATCATGAATATTAATCAATTAAGTTATCAATTATAATTAAATATTTTAATACATAAATATATATATTTTATTAAATAAAAGATATTAATTAATAACAAAATATTTTTAATAATAAAAAAATATTCACATAATTAAAATATACGTTAAAACAATATAAGAAATTATATATTAAAAAAATTAATAATTCAACCAGGGTTAATTTGTTTTATTTATTTTTGACATTGTAGAAAATATAAATTGATATATTATTTGAAGGTGATGCGTTTTGTCTTCTTTATTTCTTATTTGAAATTGATTCCTTTTGTCACCTTTGTTTCTTATTACTTTAAAAAGCTCCATTTTTATTTCTCGTAATTAATGGAGGTTGTTGAAATAGAAGTGGTGGTGCAAAACAATGAAATGAGTTCTTCATTGGGAGACAAAGTATTTTAGAGGATTTTTGTAATGGCTGAGAGTGGCTGAGTGCCTAAACCAATGATTAGTTTGGTAAAGTGTGTTTTTATCAACATTGTTGCTGCTGTTTCATCATTCTTCAACAACAATATTTTATGCCGTTCTGTGTCACTTCAAAATCGCTTTTAGACTGTTGGGTAAAGAAGGGTTTTCTTTTATGTGCTCTAAAAAATAAAAAGGGTATAAAATAATTTATGGTTAATATTTAATTAATTAATTTGTGCCCTTCGTGTTTTCACTTGTCGCAGTGCCTTTGTTGTTTTTTCACCATATTTCCATTCAATATTGATTCACACAAGTAACACAATCATAATAGTTTATTCTTGAATGCATTTTTTATTATAAATTAAATTTTATTAAAAATCTTATGCTTCTTATTAAACAAATCATACTAGGGTTAAATAATTTTCAATGAAACTTAACTTAGAAAAAAAAACACAATTTTTTAAAGACAATTTGATTTCTTCTAAAAAAACAAGGGGGAAAAACAATAGCTAAATGACATGTTGACTTAAACAACAATGGGCACCAAATAAGGAACCTTTTTGTTGAAAGTAGTTTGTTTTGTTTTTTTATCATCATGAGTTATTGTTGTAAAGAAATCATATAAATTATTATTACTTAGAACATTTGGTAGGTGAGAGGAGAAAGAATATGGACTTAATACGTGCTTTGTCCTTGTTATTTAGGACACAAATTCAATGATTCATCATTACTCGCACGTGTCTCTCAATTCAAACGTGTTCACAAAGAAGGGGCCATGCCATCTTACAAAGTCAGGGACAAGAGAGATCTTAATAAGCAAAGTCTTGAAAAAAAATTACGTGATAAAATGTGACCATAAAAAATGAAAAATTGAGTATTAGTTAATTGAACAAAGTGAAACCGCTCCAACCCTGAGCCGAAAGTGGTTGTTAGTTAGGGTTTTCTATTGAAAGAGAAACCCTAATTTTGGATTAAATTATGTGTAAGAAAATGTGGATTTAAAGGAGAAAGTGGCGTCAGCGTAGCGGATGTGTACGCGTTGCCGACTCAAAGTATTGCGAGGCTGCCCTGATCGTGACCCTCCATCATTTTCATTAATTTATTTTTAATTAATTATTCTGACTATGACGTTTAAAATTTATTTACAAAAAAATTAATATAAACATTCATTTTTTATTTTTAATAAAATTATTATTTTTATTAATATTTTATTATTAAAATACTGCAAAATATTATGTTAGCTCTCTTATCTGTATTAATATAATTAAAAATTAGAGATATAATTAATATGTCATCTCTTCTGATAAATAAACAGATAATAATATCTTCTTAAATAAAAAAATATTTTTTTCATGTAATAATATCTAAATATAATTATTCAAAAATTATAAAATATTTATCCGTATTTTATAAGATATGAAAAAGATACCAAATATATCTGAAGAAGTATATTTATATATTTTATTATCTGTTTATTTTTTTCAATAATCTTATTTTTTATTATTAAAATTTAATTTTTATTCTTTAAAATTTATTGTTTATTTTTATTTTAAATTTTTATAAATCTCATATTATTTTAAAAAAATTATATACGATCTTTTCTTATCATCTATTAAAGCGTTTTAAGAAAAAAATCATAATAACTAAAGTTGTAAAAGAGTTTGATAAGTTAAGAAATTATTACCTTTGTAGGACTATGTTCCTAATTCAATCTTTATATTACAGTTTTACTTTTTCAGTTTTTGAATACTTTTTATTTTAAAAAATAAAAACTTACAGGAGTAATGCTTTCACATTTTATCATATAACAAATTTCTCAAAATTATATATATATATATATATATATATATATATATATATATATATATATATATATATATATATATATATATCTTTTCAGCATGGATATCCCATTCAAAAGTCAAAATCAGGATCTTTTAAAATATTTATTTATTTTAAAATTTGACATTTTTTATATATATTCTTTATGTATACCAATCTAACAGAAAATTTATCAATCATATAGGAACTATGTAATAATTAATGAATATAAAGAGAAAATTATACCAGAATAAAATATAACTAAGGTTTATGTATAATCACATTTAATTATTTTTATAACATTTTTATCCGTAGAATTCTTTTATCACGCGATCTTTTACTTTCCAGTACCTAAATATCAGGCTCCAATTATTATATCAAAACCATACTTTTTTTTTATTTCGTTAATTACTTTTTTATTTGAATTGTTATGAAATTTGAATAAGCTTTTGTTTATTAAGGATATAATAACAATATAATTTTGATACATTAATGAAAAAAAATTTATCAATCAATCATAAAGTATGTTTTTTAAGAAAATTTATGGAGAAGATAACGAAAGAGTTACAAATGACCATTTTTATTGGTTAAAAGAAGATAAACCTCTTTAACTTGTATAGAAAATACAATTGGATTATTAATTTTAAAAAACATGAGTGTTGTCAACCAACGATTTAAAATTACGTTGGAAATATTCCAAAGAGTGAAGAGGTAGGTTATATTGAATAACATGTTTGAATAGCTATTTTTACCATTAGCATGCATCATTTGAGACCGGTGACTATCCATGATAAGAAAAAATGTATTTATAGTTTGTGAGAATGAAGAAGGCTTTGACAACGATGTTGGATCCGAATAGATCGGAGGATTGTGCTGTGATGGGTACTTGTCAAAATCATTCGTTTCTCTCTCAGTCTCTCTCTTCATTTTGGGTGGAACAACCCTCTTTCTTCTCTTCCCTTGTCTCTTTTTTTCTCATCTCGACGAGTTAAAGGACAGAGGAAACTACAACCAATACGTCTAGAGAGGAATCCTAGTTCCTTCCTGGGAACGACGGATCCTCCCTTTATGCTAGCACCCCTCATCAGGTGATTCAATCTTCTTCTTTTGTCATCATCAATCCTTTTAGCAACTACCCTTATCTCATTTTCTTCATTCATAGAAATATGTTTTGATCCTTCGTGCATGCATGTGTTGTTTATGTATTGATACATATACACCTTTTTTTTTTTTTTCATGTCCGCTTTTGTTTTCACGTGCGTGGTGTATGTGATATGTTGTTTGTCCGTTGGTTACCCCTTCAACATACTTACGTGATGGAGGTTTGTGTTCATGTGAACACGTACCATGAATCCAGACCAACGTAATTATCCTTTGTAACGTCTTGTTTTGTTTATTGGTGATTTTCATGTTTTTGTCAACTCTTGCAAGCCAAATCATTGTGCGAATCTTTCTTTTTCTATTTTATTTTGTAGGAATACTATTATCCTTATATGTAAGGATATACGTATGTATATAGTATATATTTATATTCTTGTTTCCTTCATTATTCAGGTCTTTTTCTTCAAAATGAGATGCAGGCACAAATATGTAACACCTTGATGGTCTCTATGTTATAATCAATCATAGGTGTATCATTGTCTAGAGTGCTTATGTATACACATACGTATGTGCTAGTTGTTACTAGATATATTTGATTATCAGGAAAAACCAATTCTATTAAATTGAGTTGGCTTTCCAATCCTAATTCATATGTAGATTAACAATAACCCAGACTTTTCTTTCTTATGTATCTGTTCTGTGTTTTGATGTTAATCTAGCACTAATTTGATTGTTTGTGTGGCTGCAAGGTTCTAATTTCTTCTCAAGGGATTCATCACAGACACTGCCTAATCCTTTTTGTGGTGAAACACAAGAAAATCAAAATGTTGGCTGGAATAGTGAAAAAGATCGCCTCCACCACAATGGGGAGCTGTGCCTCAAATCCAAATAGAAAAGGCAACGGCAACGGTCACAAAAGAAGAAAACACAAGTCTGGCAAACGCAGAGGAAATATTCCCACAGCACTTCCTGAGATGCCTTTGAAGAGGGTTAGCAATGCTGGCAGCCTTGTGGGAGATTTCAATCTCAGTGACTTTGTTCACTTGGACTTTGAGAATGGTGCTTCAGCCCCCTGCAGAAGATCAGAGGTTTCAAACATGAAGTTTCATCTTACACAGCTTCAATACCATAGTCAGATTGATGCAAATGGTATACATGTTTTCTTTTCTCCTCCTCCTTTCTCCACTGCAAAACTATTAAGAAATTTTTGTTAATTATGACTGCCTTAAAGGGAGGTTTATAGTTCGTAGCAAATGAATTATATCATCCACTCATTTTGGGCCCTTGGTTATTTTTTTATTTTAATGCTTGTGTCTTTGAAGATGTTTCTTATGGTATAGCTTGATGGATTTCACAGAGTTGACATTGCTCCCTATGATAAACATGCTGAGCGATTATATATATTATGCAGGAAAATACCAAGAAGAATCATGGTTTGATTCGGTTAGCATTATTGAATCTGATTCAGATGATGAATTCAGCAGTGTGCATGGAGGTGATGCATTTATGGCTTGTAGTTCCAAGTGTCCATTTTGGAATTGATTCTTGTTATCTTAAATGGAATTTATGTGTTTTTTCTTTTATGGTTGGTAGATTGTTTTCCCTTTGCCAGCAATGCTTTGGCAAATGGCCCAAACACGCAATTAGTTCAGTATGAAAGTGCATCCTGCTTTGTAGATTCAGGGTGTAAATATGAGGAGTTTTATGAAAGCTACCTCAAAATAGATGGAGGTAACTGTAAGAATGGGGAGAAAACTCAAGAAAATAGCTCAAAACAATCAACAGTTATCATGGTTTCTGTAAAAAGGTCATCAATTGATGGATATGACAAGACGACTGAATCATGTAAGTGCATAATATGTAGTATTTCAATTGTTTTATTCAATAATGATTCGGCCTTTTGTTATTCACATACACTTTGTCTTTTAAAATCTGTCAATGTGAAATTATGAACACCTTGGAGGCTTTCCTTGTCCAACAATGAGAATGTAATAATCTTGTGTGTTGCACTATTTGTTACAACTATACTGTTACTTTTATTTTTATATATATACTTCTCAGAATTGTGATGGTACTAATGAGTGGATGTACAGGTTCATCAGAGAAATTTCTTTATCGTCCCAAGGCAGGGCTTCAAATTCCTGCTGGAACTCAAGAAAAGCCATCACCTAGTACATGGTCTGTGATTTCACCGTCAGTGTTCAAGCTTCGTGGTGAAAGCTTTTTCAGGCATGTGAAATTGTAGCTGTCAATCTTGTCATTTCATGTTTTGTTTTTATTAGTTAGTCCATTGATTTTATTCTTTGTTTCATCGAAAAGACTGATATTATATGTGAAATAATTTGTGCAGAGATAAGCAGAAGAGCCCCGCTCCTGACACATGCCCTTACATACCAATAGGTGTTGATTTATTTTCTTGTCCGAGGAAGATAAACCACATTGCTAGGTATCTTGAACTTCCATCTGTCACAGAAAATGAAAAATTACCTTCCCTCCTAATTGTCAATATACAGGTTTGCCCCTCACCTATATGCATATTTTCTCCTTTTATACTCACAAGTCACAAATATTCTTCACTTTTGATGAGGTCTATAACTGTTGTTGAACAACATTAAAGAATGCTTTTACTTAATTATGTTTCTTTTGCCTTAGTTGCCAACATATGCTGCAAGCGTGTTTCTTGGTGATGCCAATGGAGAAGGCTTGAGTCTTGTTCTGTATTTTAAATTGTCCGAGAATTTTGAGAGCGAGATCTCACAAAATTTTCAGGACATGGTTAAGGTATTTATTTCAATTACTAGCTACCTGATTAAACTTCCAATTCTGCAAGTTTACAATAATGTTACCCTACAAGGAATTAAAGAAATACTTCAATTGCTACATTGCCAGATTGCTCCCCACGTTTCCAAAAGGAAATAGTAATATCAATATTGGATTGGATTACATAAACTAGTCATTTCCTTCCACTCAAGAAAAACCATATCCACTGTGTAGTTTTTAGCACTCATGTACTTTTTTGACATCACTAGTTCCACAATGTTTTGTTATAGGCCAGGTTTTAAAACTTAACTGAGTAGTAAGTACAAGTGGTTTCTGTTACTTAGAACTTGACAAGTTAGTTTAAAAGCAAAATGGTTGCTTAGAACATGCTTACCTTGGTTAACATCATAAAAACATGTACCTCTTTAAGAAGGGACCTTCATCATAATCCTGTTAACCAGAGTAATCTTTTTTGGTTTGCTTCCCCTTAAAATGTGCATGAATATTTGATTTTGCTTCCAATAGTTGATTGCCACCGTGTATTATATATGTATGTATGTGTGTTACAAATTGTTAGGCACCCTTTTGAAGTACGTACTTAGTATGACATATGCTCATATGCTTTCTGGTAGTTTCCTTCTCATGTTTGCATTATATTCTCAACCACATTCTTCCAAACTTAAGGGAAACAAAAAAGTCCAATTTAATCTTGTTGCAGTTTCCTAAATTCAAATTGAGCAATTATTTTTTCAAGATAAATAACAGTATTGGTTTGACAGAGATTAATGGACGATGAGATGGAAAAGGTGAAGGGGTATACAAAGGAAAGCGCGATTCCCTATAGGGAGAGACTAAAAATTTTGGCTGGGGTTGTTAATCCAGAGGACCTTAACCTGTATTCTGCAGAGAAAAAGCTTATCAATGCTTACAATGGCAAGCCAGTGTTGTCACGTCCTCAGCACGAGTTCTATATGGTATACGCAAACTCATGTCTTCCATGGCTTAAAATATGTCTAGTTCTCAGTTGAAAGAGTCTATGAAGTAGCAAATATATAATAACATATTTATGACTTCAGAATTGAGCTCATTTGGTAGGGCCATTTTTATACAGACCACCTTTAGTTATTAGTTAAAATGTTTTGGCCTAATGCAACAGAGTCTTATGATTCATCCATGTCTCAGTGGTTTATTTGAAGTTTTGTAAGGGCTATTGACAGACTCTCAAACTAGTAACAACTGAATCTTTGTATTCAGATATAGGACTGTTCTTTGAGGTGGAATAATTTATTAAGTTGTTTCACAGAAGCACTTTTTTCTTAGTAGCAAAGATCCTTGTGAAGTTGTTTCTATATCAGCATGTTTTAACAAGGCAAAAAGCTCAGTTTACCATGTAGAATGATTCTTCTGAACCCCATTTTTACGCATTATTCATGTACTTTAATTACAGGGACGTAACTACTTTGAGATAGATTTGGATATTCATCGCTTTAGTTACATATCAAGGAAAGGACTTGATTCACTGAGAGACCGTGTAAAGCTTGGAATACTGGATGTTGGCCTAACTATCCAGGTATATGATGGTCTTGCTACATATAGTTCCTCAAACTTTCAGTTATCAAGTTGATCAAGCTACTATCTGTATTAAACAAAGAAAGTGGTTACAACACAATTCTAACACTTATTTCCTACTAATAATATGCATACCCGTTTGTCATGGTTTTTGCAGGCACAAAAGCCAGAGGAACTTCCAGAGGAGGTGTTGTGTTGTTTACGATTGAACAAAATTGATTTTGTTAACCATGGCCAAATTCCTACCCTTGTCACTCAGGAGGATAATTCAGGCGAGCACTAGTTGATCCATGGGGGAGAAAAAAATAAACAAAAAGTTTGGTTTATAGTTCCAAAGAGTGGGTGCCAAAACTATTTAATGATCGAGAGGAGACTAAAAAACAAATAAATAAAAGGAAGAAGATAAGTAAATTTAAAGAAATTTGAGCCTTCTCCAATATTTAAGATTATTTTTAAAATTATTATTGATGAGATAATGCTATCAAAGTCCTACATTTGTTGCTTTGGATGACAGTTATCTTCCTCCTTTGTGATGTTGTGAGGATGGGTAATTGAACAGGTGACAGTTGTAAAAAAAGACATCTTGGGAATGTTTAATACCAATTTGTAATTGGGATATTCTTTTAGGAGAAAAACAAATTTATTTTTTCCAATTTTTTAGTTTGTATTTATTTTCTCTTTAAAGTTTATTCTATATGAGAAGGTTAAACCATTGAGGACTCTTGGCACAGTTCTCATTCATTTTCATATGGACAATAACACATTTATTCTTGTCTTATTTTTTATATTATTATTATAATTAGACGCATGGACGGAGCTATAAATGTGCCTTGAAGGGGTTAAAAAAAATCTAATAAACACAATAAAATTTACTTGTATTAAAAATATAAGCAATTTAATATTGTTTAATTTATCTGATTTAACCATTTATGTAAAAAATGGATAGATATATTTGTTTTCTAATAATTTTAAGAAATGTATACTCATTTTCAAACACATAAATTTTCCTTTTTATAGCTTTAATTTATTGCAATCATAATTTAGTGAATTTTATTAATAAAAGACTCAGTTATATATAAATAAATAATATCTGTGTTTTGGTAAGGAAGAAAAACAAAATATTGAAAATATTTATCTTTATTTAGAAGGAAAATGATATTAAAAAAATATTTATTCTAAAAAAAATCATTCTCACATTTTAAATTTTTTTAAGGAGAATGCTAAAAGCTTTTTTCTCAAGTTTTGAGTTTTTGGATAATATTGATACAAAAATCGTGGAGGAGTTAATAGAAACTCTGAAGTTATATGTTTCCCAATATGTATAATAATACTTATTCATTCCCTTTTTTTTTTTAAACTATAAAGGATTCTTTTATCATGACTATTTTTATGTTTCATTTTACACAACTAAGCACGTGAAGGTTTATTATCCTAATATTGAACATACAGTTTAAATTAAATCATTATATTTAATTTTCTACATTTTCAATAAATTTCAGATTGAAGTTAATTATTAAATTATAATCATAACACCAAAATTATATTAAAAAACGTATTCTAAATTTCTTTCAAACGTTAAAAATAAATAAACAAATAAAAATAGATAAAATTTAATATATATTTTTTATTATTAAAGTGCTTATTAAGTACAGAAATTAACGGTTAACATTATCACTTTTTATTAACTTTATCTTTTTAATCTCTTATTTTAATTTTACTTATCTAATTTTATCCTTATCTAATAAAACTTATTTGATCTTTTATAAAATAGTTTTATTCTTATTTTATTCTCTAAACTTAATTAAACTAAATAAACAACTATATTTTTTATTTTTTGAAAAGGACGTTACATTTTCTACAATAAAAACTTTATTTACAAATTTAAAATAAGAATCATCCAAAATTAGCAATATTTTTAAAATTAGATAATTGGTTCAAGATTTAAAATTTTAATAATCAGTTCAAGATTTTAAATTTTACTAAATAAAATCGAATTTAATAAAATAATATTTTTATAATATAATCAATTTATTAATAATAATATTTTTTTATAATAAATAAATAAATTATTGTCATAATTATCTTAAATTATAATAAAAATTATAAATATAAATATATTAAAAAGTAAAAGATAAATAATAATTAAAATAAGATAAAAAATAAAATATATTATATTTTTTATAAAAAAAGTTATATTAAAAAATTTGATCTTAATTCTTTTTTTCTCAAATTAGTTAAATTAAAATTCCATTCGATATATTTTTATTTAATTAAAATTAAATTATTTAAAAACAATAAACTCATTCCAGTTGAAAACCATGGAATGATTGAATCTCAATCCCTCTCTCTCTCTCTCTCTATATATATATATATTAATATTAGAAAGAATATTTGTTACGTGTTTTTTTTTATCTCTTTGAAAAATGTTTTTTGAAAATTATATTTTTTATAGATTATATTTTATAAAGTATTCTAAACATGTGTGATATGTTTAAAATATTATCGTAAATAATAGAAATAATTATAAAAAAAAATCCTTTGATAAAAATGTTAGATTTCCGTCTTCTCTTTAAGAAATATTTTTTTAAAATGTTAAATTCATAACTAATTTTTAAATATTTATATATTAAAATAGAGATATATCATTACCAACGAATTTTAAAAAGATATTCAAAATTTAAATTCATGAGATAATTATAAAATCTTCATACAAATTTATTTATTTCAACCTAATCTTTCAAAAAAATAAAAAATCTCTCTATAAAATCCCTCTTAATCTAAACCCAACCCCCAACAGAAATTGAAAAGCGTGGAGTAGAGGCTGCTTGCTGGTTGCATATTTAAACTACGATACGACATCGTTGCAGAGATTCTTCAATTGTTGTGATTTTTGAATCAGAACCAAAACCTAATTAGCGACTCACTTGCACGCACACTGTTACGAAGCAGCAAACACTGCTATCTTCTCCGGCAACGTCTCTCTGTATCTTCAATTCTTTGTAATTATTTTTAATATATAAAATTTATATTCTTTTCATAAATATAATGTGAAATTTTATCTCCTGACATTGTTACTACCGTTTGGGATTTTTCATATGGAATTGGTTTTCTCTGCTCTTCATGTGATTTGTCAAGTCGAAATGAACAATTTTTTATTGGTAGCTTGAATGTGAAAGCTTACATTTGAATGTTGAATGGTTTTCACAGAGCAAATTACAAGTTTTGGATTGGAACTTCTTACGAGTTAGTGTCATTCATTCCGCTAATAAATGGAAACAAAATCCTCCAGTTCCTCCGCCAATCTAGTAGATCAATTAGTGGTGAGTGCTTGCCCTTACTCAAGCCCTTATCAATCTCTGTTGTGTATGGATTCAACACTGAAGATTTTTTTTATGCTGATTATAGTTTTTGTCAATGATTGTACAGTTTCCTGGAGATGTGGTTCTTGACCTGTCTAGCATGACAAACCACACAATAAAACTTGGAGGCGGTCTACGACAGGTAGGTCTTTGATTTTTATAAAATTTAGAACATTCATTGACAATTTTATCATTTGAATTCCTGTCTCACTTGCACACATGCATAATGTTTTTACAATGATAGAGTACTTAAGTGGCTTGGTTCTCATCCCTTTCAAGAGTTGATTTTTAAATGTTTGTGCGCTTATCAATCGATAACTAATTTTTAGGATGCCTTACCTTCATGCTTCTTTTTAGTTTTTATGCATGTTATACAGTACTTACACTCAGCTCTCCTGAGTTTTTAAATCATTTTGGTCAACATTATTATTCTTATTCTGTCAAATATTATGAAATGGCTTTTCTTCCGTTTAGGGAGGATGTAATATGGAACTCAATTTTCATTTGGTAAAATTTCAGGGTTTCTTGCTTTTGATTTTGTATTTGTTGATTGATCTCCTCATTTAGCATCTTATAAACAAAAAGGAAATTATAGATGATGATAGTTCTTGCATTTTATTCTATTCAAGCCTGCTAATAATATTGGATTCTCGCCTGTGTCAATTTTTTAGGACTGTGATGCAATTTCTGCAATGAAAGCTGGCATACTAAGGTTCTCAAAGCCCAATAAATACTGGGTTGAAAATTCTCAGAAGAGGGTGAGTACGATACTGAGGTCATGATCTATGTGTTGATGTGTAAAGGCATGACTTTGATTGACAGGATGATGTTGATTTTTCATTGTTTCTACTGATTAATATATTCTTCTTTCTTAATGCTATATGATTCACTGACAAATAGCTATACATGACTTCAAATCAAGCATATGTTTATCTTACATGTACTCATGGAGCATATTTAGTAGAAGGGGTTACTATGATTTTAGTTTACAACAATATGCTAAACCCAATGATGGTGGGAATGATATCCCCATATCAATTGTTTTGATTTTCAATGTAACTTTCATCTGTAAGTATAAAAAATTGTTTGTTATCACATTGGAAGATACTATAGTATCTGTCATGAAATTTGTGGAAGACCTCTTGCTATGTTTGCATTGGGTCTGTTTTACTCCCTCTTGAATTAAGTAAATTTTCAATTGCAATTATGAAATTAGGTTAAATGTTTGTAGCTTTGTGCTCTTTCTTCCATTTCATTTTGTTGTTTCATGCATATTCAATATCATATGGGAATTATGTTCTTTCTGTTAAGGTGAATATCAATTTGCATTCTTCCAGAAAACTATCTCCTTATACATATAAATTTCATTTTATATTTTCAGTATTGAATTATGTTATGTAATTTTCCTTCGTATTTTACTCTCTAGGATTTAAATATTTCTTCTCTTTTAATGTAATATTCTTTATTTTTTTTCCTTTTCAGTATGTGCCACGTGTGGAGGATTCTGTTCTTGGAATTGTTGTAGACTCCAGATCAGATGTAAGTAATTATTTATTTTCAGGATTTTTTGTTGGCTTCGAGTTTTATGTAAGTATTTAACTGTCATAAGTTGTTAATGAGGACTAAGGACTTACAAAGAGAATTAGCCATGCCATGGTGGCATTACCCTTCCTCAAAACCATTAGTTTTTGCCTACAAAGACCCATGTCAAGAAAACAACCAAGGAACAAAAGTAATAGAGAAAGGAAAAAAGCACGGGATGGGACTAATAATAACATTGTTTATGATTGTTTTCCTTCTTGTTTACTAGCTTTCTTGTTGTTGAAAATTTTTCTTAATTGCATTCATGCCTAACCTGCCTTATAGTCTCTTTGGGGGTTGTCTTAATTGCATGCTCAAGAGTGTTGGTTTAGTCCAACGTCAACTAGTATATAGTTAAAATAATGTATACAAGTGAGCTGTAGGTCTCACCTTACATATTTATTGTGTAGGGTAACCAAGGGTAGCTTCATTTCAACTAATCACATGTAAATTTTAATTTAATTGTGTTAAATAGGAATTTACTAGTGTAACACAAAATGAATGGATTGCTTGGTTCTATTTCAACTGTTGTACTTTTTTTATAGTTACTTGAAAATAATTAAAATTTGTTCTCACCTAGCTCTGGGTTTGTTTCTATGATAAAAATCTCAATTTATTTCTGTGCAGAACTTTCTTGTGGACATAAAAGGACCAGCTATAGCATTTTTACCGGTGCTTGCATTTGAAGGAGGAACTAGAAGAAATATACCTAAGTTTGAGGTCCGTATAAATTATGTTTGTATGCTAATTGCATAAGATTATGTGTGATGTATTTCATGATGTAGAGGTAAAATAATGCCACAGATGAAATTTATTTTGTTTGCTACTCCCACAGATTACTTTGGTTAACCTAATTAAGTCTTCTGGAAGTGTATTTTGTAATTAATTCTTTTAAGAGATGAAGAGTAAAATTCATTTACATTTTTCTTTTCATCCTTGATTTGGCTGTCAACCTGCAACTTGACTTGTTCCCATCTGGGTGTTAAACCATGTTTTGTCTGGTTGGTATATCACGTTTCTGTAGTTTGTAATTTATTTTGCCTAATGCATCCTGCAGATAGGTACTTTGCTATATCTGCGGGTCGTCAAAGCAAACCCTGGAATGAATCCAGAGCTGTCATGCACTGATGGTAGGTGTTTTTATTCTTTACTAGTGTTTCTTTCATGTACCTCTTAATTTTGTTTTTTTTTTTGAAGTTCAATTTTATTTGTGTTAATTTTGCATACTTAACCCTGCCTTTTGTTATGGTGTTTGTTTGTTTAGCTACTGGGAAAGCAGCAGAATTTGGTACTCTAAAAGAAGGCTATATGTTTGAATGTACAACTGGTCTCTCAAGGAGGTATGCCAATGGTATTTAATTTTTCTATTCATGCATAACATTAACAGATGTTGATGTGAGAGATTGTGTCTGTAGGCTTCTCAGTTCGCCCCCATGTCCAGTTCTTGATGCCTTAGGGAAGAAACTTTCCTTTGAGATTGCAGTTGGCTTAAATGGACGTGTTTGGGTATGCAGACACCCTCTGTTTCTAGCGTGCCATATTATGTTCTTTATCTTTGTTTCTTTAAACGGACATGACTTGTATGACGCATATGTTTAACCATCATTTGAGTTGAAGTTGGAGGAAATTTCATTCTATTAATTTCAGTTTTCCGTTTCAAATTGCTTCATCTAGGTCAATGCAGCATCTCCACACACAACTATTCTCGTAGCTAATGCGATCATAAATTCAGAGACACTGAGTGGTGCTCAACAGAGAATAATGGTTGAAAAGTTGCTACAGAAAATCCAGTGATGAAGTTAGTTATGAAAGCGGTAATATTTTAATACCTCTAGTTTTGATAGAATATTCTTATAGTTCCTTGTGATTTAAATTTCGTAGCATAATATGCTGGTTTTGCCATTGTAATCTTGTGTCATTTCCAGCTCATGAAGTGCGCCACCAAATACCAATACTTCTGAAGGGCGAGCACTCTCCACTTACTGAAGGGCACGATAGATTATCAACACCTTCATATTTAATGTGACGTGATATTTATGATAGGAATACAGTTGTTCTTTTTAACTAGGAGTTTGATGATCTGGTTATATCAGTCTTTGTTTCCATAAAATTCAACAACAAAGCCTGGCTATATCTGATAGAAAATCAGTCCTTAGATTTGGAATTTATATTGTTCATATGTAGAAATCTTAATACTTGCAAACTTTGTCTAATTTAAAAGCCTTTATATTCTATTCTGCTGTAAGGAATACGTTTTCAGGCCTGCCTTTATGTATTATTTATCAGATTCACTGCCTCTGAAGTATGAAGATTTGGCATGATTGAATAATAAATCTAATTAATTAGCCTTTAAGAAATTGCAAGTATCAATGTAGTCCTTGAAATTTCTAACAAATATCATTTTAGAATTATATAATTAATTGATCGTCAATTATTTAAAAGTGAATTAAATCAATTTTTAACTTTATAACTTTCTAAAATCAGTTATCATCCTTTAGAAATATTGTCTTATTTTCGTCCCCTTAAATTTAGAATTACTCTAATCGTTATCGAATATTAAATATATTTAGTGAAACATTTCTAAATTAAAAAGAAAAAATAAGACAAAAAAAATACTGTAACTGAATTTTTAAAAATTAAAAATATATTTATCCATAAACAAATTCTATGAATTTTTGGTATGAAAAAATATTGATAGAATCTTATCTCAATTTTTCAACTTGTGAGAAGTCTTTAGTTGATAGAATCTTATATTGATAGTTAAGTTACATATGTCAACTATGAACTTTTTAACCCATTACAATTAATTTAGAAAATTATTACTAAAATGTTAAACGAAGTAGTAATTAATTTTATGATTACCTTTCTAACTCAACACAACTCATTTTGAAAATTATTATTAAAATATCAAAGAAACAACAATTAAGGTATCAATTGACGTGGGACAATAGGTAGACTCTTATTTAGGTGTCACTTGTTGGCAACTTGCAATTAAATTATTTAAATACAAAAAAAAATCTCATTATAGTTATTAAATGTGAATATATATTTTTATCAAAATAAAATATAATTGTATTTTATTTTTAGTTCCTAAATTTTCTCTAATCTCTATTATTGTAAAACAAAATTATTTCTAGTTTTGTAAATTATTTTATTATAGTCTTTCTAATATATTTTTTTCCACTTAACTCCTACAATATATTTACTTTTCATTTTTTAATGATTTTTTTGAAGAGACTAAAAATATTAACAAATATACTAATATGACAAACAAACTCACAAAAAATTACATGAATCAAAAGTCAACAATTTCTTTTAAAATAAATAAATAAATTTACTCAACTTAGATAATTAAGAACTTAATTAAGCAATGTAACCTGTAAAAGGAAACAAAATTAGTAATCAGTCAGAAGATAATAAATTACCCACTAAAGTTCAAAAGGTAAAAATCCATTTGATAGATTATAAATAACTCAGATTTTAAGTTATGTATTGTTCAATGATTACGCATTTACTGCATCACCTGGCCCCTACTTGACTTAGGAGTGTCTTTGCAGACATCCCTTGGATTCATGACTCTACAAGAATAATAAAATCTTGTTAAACGAACACAAATTAATATCTCTATGTATGATAGATTTGTCAATTTTTGCATTACCTATATCTTATGAAGGATCAAATATTAGGTTTTCACTCTTTATTTTGGAAGATGAAGTTTATTTCATGATCCAAAATTTTGTCCCGTTCAGCAAAATATCAAAGAACATGGAATTACACTATGAAATGATGAACTATATCAAACAACTTAACATACATTTCAATGTACACAAGAGATACAAACGGTACAGCATCATCCAAAACCAGTGTTCACTGTGCAAACTTGCCGTTTAAACCCTTTTATTTTTGCCCTTACCTCTTTCGTCATGATGTGGTTGTGGGAGAAGACTTAAATAGAAAAGTATTAAAACTATTTGTTTATTAGGAATTGCACTGATATGCCATGATCAAAAACTTAGGCCTAAGACTATAAAGAATGCAATGAGCATGAAAACAAAGATGACGACTTGTGCAAGCTGAGACACATTCTTTCTTACAGGCAGTAAGCTCTTCTAGCGCACACTAGGTTATCTGCTCTTCCTTCAACCGTAGCCGTGCAACCGGCTGTTGATCATTGCCACTAATATCTCTGTTGCCAAAACTATGCCTCCCAGGATTGGAATTCTGCGATTTTATATGTGATGCAGTGTTGCTGGCCATAGTGTGGCTGTTGGTCTTAGCTGCTGGAACATCATGATTGTGTTTTCCTTCATATGTTGTTATGACAGCTTTAGGATCTGTTGAAGCCCTCTCCACGTGCTTTCGAACATTACAACCCGGCGTTGTACATTTGTAATAACTCCTACACATGATATAAGCTAGATTCAGCATTAGACAAGACAAGGTTAATGTGATGATATGTGAAGTAGTGACTATAATAAGTGATGATCATTGAAATTTTGAGGAATAATATTTTAACGAGTTTATGGAATCATAATTAAAAGTCATGACTATTTCAATTAATGCAATCAAAGTGTGGAGGAGAAGCAATAGCACCTAGGATAAGGGTTGCCTTTGACAACTTTTTGCCCATATTTTCGCCATCTGTAACCATCATCTAAAAGATCAACTTCACTTGTTGTTTGGACTATGATTCTAGGCTCAGTAACGGTCTTATGTGAAGATGCTGGATCTGAATTCGAGACTTCTGTTTTACTGCAGAATTACAATACTTCTAAGATCAGAAAAGACAAATGATGTTAGGAATCGAGAATAAAAGTGGAAAAGAGAAGACAGATTTTATTGAATAGAACAGAAAGGTAAAATATTAGGATAGAAACCTTTCACCAAGAATTTATCCTTCTATAAAAAGTAAAAACTCAATCTAAAAATCATAACCAAATAGAATGAATACTTTTCCTCAATTCCCCATATTTATATCTGATTAATTCTATAACTAACTATTCACCTACTCTACTTGTCTGTATTTTCCAAACTCCTCACAAGAGATTATCCAGCAAGAACAGGTTCTTATAAAATAAAAGGTTACCTCCTCTTGGGGTCAGGCTCAACATTTTTCTCATCCACTTCAGCTTCATGATCACCTACTTCCTCACTGTCACTTCCTGATAGATGATCAGCTGTTGCTTGACTTGACTCTGGATCCATCTTAGTGGTCCCAGCTGAAACATTCCCTTGCATATTTGAAATTTCATTTGAAGTCATAGTGTCTTTCATGCGCTTAGAATGAGGACGTTGATGGTTGTGTTCTCCTTTATAAATAATTGCGGTTACATGACCCTCAAGTGAGCGCTCAACCTTTTTCTTTACAGGACAGTGTGTATGCGTGCATTTGTAATAACTTCGAGGAAATTCACTACCCTTCACCTGTTTCTGTCCATACTTCCTCCAGTTGTAACCATCATCTGCAGGCTTATCCACATTCAATGATGAAGATTGCAATTTTTGTTCAGAGTGAGAATGATCAGCGGATTCGGTCATTGTGGCCCAAGAGTCTACAGTTAAAGGTGGAATCAGCTGTTGTGCAGTATTTGAAGTAGACCCAGGAACCTGTGTAAATGAGGTTGGTGTTGATAATGAATATTCAGTCTGGAGATGCATGTTTGAATTAGTTTGTGAAGCCTGAGATGAGACTTGTGCTAGGGCCTGCTGGTGTGTCATTCCAAAAGACACCTACATGTATCACAAACCGGGTTGTCAAAAGAAAGAAGAGACAGACTATAATCACTTAAAAATATCATGTGACTATGTTATCCCAACAAGGTGTGGATTGATGTTGTTGCCTGTTGCACAGTTGAATATCATGCAAACATAAATCTTTTATTATCATGTACATTTAAATCTTTTATTGATACAATAGAAGAATTAACATTTAAATCTTTGTTATCTCACCATAATATATACTAGATATTCACATTTATATAACCATTGGTTAAGGGGTCTAATCTATATATTCTATCATCCTTATTAAGTATTATATTTGCTAGGACCTGAATACAACTCTATAGTATTAAAAATACTATTTTGGAGTTCCTGTTGATTGATTCAACATGGAAATGGGCATGTTTGGGTGAGCTTTTACAAAATTGATTTTGAGATAAAGTGATTTATGCTTGGATGTTTTCATTATAAAAGTAAGTTGGAAATAAAACTCTTTAAAATATTTTATCCAACACAATACTAAAATTGCTTCAACCAAAAATCTATTTGAATACAGAATTTTTTCTTCAAAGTGGGACCAAATATGCCAACATTTATTAAAATCGTATTAGCTGATATTTTGATGTGATTTTGGATGATGCAATGTGAATCCAAGCATGCACTGAATGTAACACCTCAACAAAGATAATGAACATTGATTGTACTGTTTCCATCTTGAATCTTGGAAAACAGACATAGCATATCACACAAGGATAGCTTAGAAAATCTACAGCCTAAAACTGATTGTATATAATAAATATGATTCCTGCTTGTTTCATGAAAACATAAAAAAAAAGGATTGTCGTACAGAAAAGCTTGTATTTAGAGTTATGACTTAATTAAAGAAAGTTTGTGCATAAACAATAAATTGTTTCCACCTTAAAAGGGTAAAATACAGTATTTAGACTAATACTCACTCGATTAAAATTAAAATTTTTAAAACAGCATGGTTCATTCCTTAATCAGAAAAGATAGTTTTCATTCAGTAAAATTAAGTTTCAGAGTAGTCTAACTTTTAGATCTGAGTACGCATGAGATGATAAATATATATGAATAATTCATTCATAATGTAGTATATATGCTTAACAATAATCAAGTTTAGAATGAAGTATAAAGAAACTCCATCTCCATAACAGGAAAGTTAACAGAAGCCAACACCAATGTGTACATGAGGTCTGTCCATCAAGTCACCAAAATGAATCTTTACTTGAGCATGAGTACTTTTTTTATAACTATTTTAAAGTTTTAAAAATTCAAATTCAATTATTTTGCAATACCACTTTGTTTACAATAAGCAACTGGGGTTGCTGATGGACCCACCCATTTAAGAAGCCTGTCAATTTCAACATAAAAGTTATAAATTTGGCCAGCAATAATTATGTAAAAGTTGAAAGATTGAAGGAATCAATATGCTACAAAATAAGGACATCACGTTGGGAACTTAGAGACTCTTTAATAGATGGGTGGAAAATTGGCCTAAGATGTGATTGACATGTTCGAACATGTCCAGAAAATAATTCAGACATATCCACTAATTTACTATCATTTTGTTTTAATTCAGTACTAGAAGTAACGATATCAAGCATGGTATATGTTATAGTTTCCAACTTATATTTATCTGTATTAACATTCAATAACGCTACATTCATGGGAATATATTCCATGAATCTAATCAAATGCTTCTAGTTACCATTACCACCTTAAAGATAAACTTCTATATAAAACACTTTTACAAGAGAATAAGGAAAAAGAAAAAAAGCATCTCCTATAAACTAATTTGTAAAAACTTCCTCATTAACCTCAAACTTTGTTTTTAACTTACAAAAAAGCTAATTTTAGCTTAAGAGAGAAACTTCATTTTTTTTTCTTATTTTATTCCCTCATGAATGCTTATAAAGAAATTTATCCAAACATGGTCTTAACACAAATTGCTCACACTTGCTCAATTGAGTAAAATCTTAAATGTATTTGTAAAAACACAACAAATACAAAACATGACACAATCTTCCTGTAATGAAGGGGTGGTCAACAAAAAAGTCATTCTCTATATTCCCAGCCCATTCTCAAAAACCAACTTACCTACAACTCCTCTATCAAGGTAGATTTTAAGCCATTTCCGAATCATATTTTAACTTAATTACTTCAGTAATCCGAATATCAAAAGTCAACATTGAAAGTCAACTACTTAGGTGCCAAACTTCAATTTTAACCATACTAAAAGTAGCTAAATTTTTCTTCAAAATTTTGTCTAAACCAAAAAATAAAAAGCAAAGTTTTCAACACTTACTATGCATCATAAATAAAAAAGCAGCACAAGAAGAACTTGACATGATGAATGAGAAAAAGAACTATGGTACCCGAGAAGGTGAAAAGGGGCCAGGTGAGTCGTGAACGGCGGCAGCGCCGGCCACCGGAGAAGCCATGGCTCCGGCGAGGAGCTGAGAGAAGGACTTGTTGCAGTCATCCCCATCATTCAAAAAGCCAGAGAGAAGAGTCATGGGACCAGGGCTGAAGCCGCCATTGAAAAGGGTCTCCATGGAAGCAGCCCTTGGAGGGAGACTGATGGTGGGTCGCGGCGCCGCTGGCTCCTTCCAAGGCGGCCGGTTCGCACTTCCTCCGCCCGCCATCCCAGTTAAATAATTCAACGGAGGAAAGAAAGTTTCAAACTTTTCTCTCACTTTTAATCAACAAAAGAAGAAAACTTTGCAACTCTTTTTCTTTTTCTTGCTCCGTGTCTTAATCTGGAAACTGAAAAAGTTTGAAGCTTTTGAGTTGGGTGTAGAATTTACGTGATTTTTTGTGATGGGTTTGGTTTGGTGGATCTGAACGAAGAACGAAGTAGCAAAAAGTCCACGCCTTATTTGCCCAATCAAATGCTATGTTATGGTTTTTTTGTTCTTAAACACAAAAAATATCTTTTCTTTTATAAATTAGTTCCCTCTGTATTAATTACACTGCATTTTCTTATCTTACGTGTACTTTTTTGTTTAGTAGAATTAAATGTTTTCTTTACAAATATCTTTTTGCTAAAGAAATATGGACAAAACTTACACGGTGAAATTTTATGTAAGTAATCTACATATCTTTCTGATAAAAATCTTTATTTCACATGTTATTAGCATAATACTAAGATGATGTGTAAAATTCATTTGAGTAATTTTGTATACATAGAAAGTATGTGAAAAATATAAAGACATTTTGTGTACTTAAAATTTGAGAACTTTGTTCTAAACAAAAGTTTAAATATTTAAAACAAGGTAAAGATTTAAGATTTTGAAAATGAAGATGAATTAATTAATTGTATAAGGCGTGAGTAAGTAGGAATGAAAATTGTGGTGTGTAGGGACACGTGTCGCGTAAAGTAGGAATATGAAATGAAGGAATGAGGAAATTGAGGAAAAGAGTTTACAAAACGAAGACATTTGGCAGAGTGAGTAAGTCAATGAATGACATTAGGGTGCCGTGATCCAGAAAGAGACAAGATTGCCACACTCAATAGTTATTACATTTTTAAAAAAATATTATTTTATTTTAATATATATATATATATATATATATATAACCAAAATAAATAATAAAAATTACAATTATTTCATACAAATACTAAAAGATAAATCAGGAAAAGTATGGTACCACCTCTTCTAATATTAATAATATGTTAAGTGTAACATTCAATTTGGTTAAAACATAGAACAAAAAATCTTGTGTAAATTAAGTAAAAATTATATTTTTTTAAATTAAAAAACTAAAATCACAAGAAAAACTTAAATTAAAAATATTAATTGATTTTTAATTAGTTTTACAAATAACAACTTAAGATATGTGAGATTACCTGAAATCTAGGGTGGATCTTTTGGACATTTGGATATGGAAGACAAGATTACGAGAAAAACAAAGAAATGAACTCACAAACTGACAAAAACGCTTTTTGTTCTGCTTTTTTTGTGTGGTCAGTGCAAAAACCTTTGCCACACGATAACTCAACATAATTAATTAATTACACTTGCTTCATATAATTATGCGTTAAACATAACTTAAATTACATAAAAAGGGTTAAACCTTTTCACTATATTTTTTATCTATTCTCTTTTCTTTCCTCATCTTTCTCAGTTTCTTTCCTCCTTCCAAACATAGCCATAGCAATATTATCATTTCAAGTTTTTAGAAATACATATTTATTTATCTGACATATTTATTATTATTATTATTAATATTATGTGTTATTACATTTTTTTATATTTTAAAAATTCATTAAATTTGTGCATGTGATTTTTTCAAGGAAAGAGTTAAAGGTTTAGAACAAATATTATTTACTAATTACTAAAGTCGCGTTAAATTGTGCAATGTTTATATTTGAAAAGTGGTGATATATTAATAAAATTAAAGTTTTTACAATGGTTGTATTTGTAAGTGGTGATCTATAGTTATGGTTTTTTATATGTGGATTCATGTGCTGGAAATAAAGAGTTTTTTCCAAAGGGAAACTACAAAGGAAAAGATGTGAAGTCTCTTTCTTATACTTTGAAAGTTGTGGTTTCTATTGAGGAGTTGGAATAAAATTTTGCACATTTTAATCAAATTTTGCTTTCAATCAGAGATGTGATGCTTTTGTTTATAGTTGGATTTTAGATAAGTAGTGATTAATACAAAATTCTCTTGGTTTGCATGGATAGAATCAAGAAATGGAGAGTACACAATTTTAACTTGGATTGTATTAGAGTTGCCACAAACAACTTACTTATCTTGTTTTGGTGTTGTACTTTTAGATAACTAAGGCCAAAATCATGACATGGGAATTGCTTTTGGCATACGTGTCAACTTCATCTTCTCCTACAACCATTAACTACAATTTCGAAGGTTTGACTAAAAAATTACAAGAAATTTTTTACCACTCCTCCAATAATGTAGCCTTTAAATATTTGGCGGGAAAAGATTCACTTCACATAAATGACAAATTTTTTCATTAAACACTTAAGATAAAACAAAGGTTGAAATTTATAATTATACAATAAATATGAGATTTTAATAATGATTATATATGAATTGTGATGAGAATTTTAAATTATTTTTATTTTTTAATAATTATTTTATAATCTTCATTATATATTTGTATCTAATAAAAAATTCATCATCATATGTAATTTATGATAATAATTATAAATAATTATCGTATATTTTAAGTCATTTCGTCTTGCACTCCTAATTTTTTTTTTTTTTTTTGAGATTTACTTTTCTCTTCCTCTTTATTTTTCTCTTTTGCAAAGTTTCTCTTTCTATCATGAATGCCTCATAATACACTCAACCCTATCCTAAAAGATAATGATATGAAAAAAGTATTTCTCCTCTTCTTCTTCTCTCTTTCTTTTCTCTCATTCACAAAATATTTATTTTCGTTGATATATATATATTCAATATAAACTAGATGAATAGTAAATAAAAGATAAGTTAAAGATTATTCTATTTAAAATATATTTCGTGGACACTAAAACTTTTATTATTATTGATATTATGATAAAAGAGAAATAATGGAAACATAGTAAATAGTAAAAATTGCAAAAATTTGTTCAACAAAATATTTAATAACGATGATTCTAGTTATAATTATTATCATATTAATAATATATTTTGACGAGTGATTATGTAACTTTTAATAATAATTAAAACTATTAAAATATATATATATATATATATTTTTTAAATCATATTTTTTAATACAATTATATATATATATATATATATATATATATATATATATATATATATATATATAAACATCGTATGCATAAAAAAAAACATGAACTCAAATATTTATCTAAACTTTTTTATATTCCTTTTGTGTTAAGGAAATTTTTTTCAAGAGGAAATTTGTTAACTAAAATTTTTACATTCTTACAAAAGATAGAAAATTTTATAACTTTGAATTTTATTTGTTTACAAGATGATAGGATCGTGAGTATAATTTCTAACCCAAAAATAATTTAAAAAATAATACTTGTATCTAAGATATAATTTCTAATATTGAGTTATAAATATCTGTCTTAAGCTTTATTGTATTCATTGTGTTAGAGTAAAATTTTGTGATAAAATTTGTTAACTAAATTTTGTTACATTTTTACAATTTTGTAACTTAACTAAATTTTATTTGTTTATAGCATGATAAGATAGTCTTATCCAAGTTTTCTTTGATAATGAAAATATTTTGAACTAAGGAAATTTTTTATTTTTTAATTAAAAAAATAAAAAAATGATTTTAGATTTCTTAAGCCCATGATAACTTAAGAAATAACAACTCGTATCTTCTTAATATATAATTGAACATTGTAGTTGATTAAAAATGAGACAAATCTAAGTATTATTTGTATTAATTATTTTATATACTTTTTTAATCTTGATTTGAAAAACATTTTATATCTTATTTATACGATAATTTTTTTTCCTACTAAAGTGTCTTTGATATATTTTTGTCTTTTAAAGGAAACCTTATTTTCATTAAAAAAATATTTACAATATTTTTAAATATAATTCAATTTTCCCCTATATATATATATATATATATATATTTTACTGAAATAATAAAAATTTGAGAAATACCTTTTAACTTTATATTTTTAAAATTTTATAGTTAAGATGGTTCATTATTTATATTATTAAATTAAAAAAAAATCTTTGATGGAATGAATCACACTTATTTCTCTATAAAAAAAGAAAACGTGTAGAAATTAAATTTATATATAAATAAATATATTAATAATCTAAATCAATGACATGATACTCATTTAGTTATATATAATTGATGTATCACCAAACCAATATTTAGTGAATATAACTTAAATTTTATATTAAAATGTAGGTCAGATCTTATTACTGCTAATTTTTATATTACAAATATTTTTGAAAGGATGTGACATTGGACTTAATATCCATGTTGTAGTTGATGCAAATATAAAACTCAATTCTCCATTTCTCTTTATTATTTTTAAACCAAATATTCAAATTTTTACTAATTCGTTCTAACTTTAGCTGTCTATATAATATATATTTTAAAGCTTTATTCACTACTAGAATTTTTCATAATTTTTTTATAATTTTTTTTATTAAATTAACAAAAAAAAATTCCTGCAAAATTTACATAATTTTTTATAAGAAAAATTGTAAAAAATAATTAACTTTTGATATTTTAGTTTGTTTATTATTTAATTTATAAGATTTTATTTTATTTTCTTAATATATATATATATATATATTTGAAATATTATAACATTAAAAGAAATTGAAGAAAGTCTTCTTTGGATTAATAAGATTATAATATCATTAAAAAAATAAATATAAAATAAAATAAAATTGACTAACTTAATTTAAGAGTTATATAAATTTGATTCTGATTATCATATATCAATCCTCCTCTATTTTAATTCTTAATAATTTAATTTATCTTATTTACGAATATAAAAAAAATGTTGTAGTAAATTAATCTAATTTATTTTTTATTAAAATAATAAATAGAATAAAAGTAAAAATTAAGATATAAAACACCTAATTAAATGACTCAAATAATTCATCAACGGTTTTTATTAAGAAAAATAAATTGAGTTGAAATTATTTATTTTTAACTCTATCAAAATAAGTTAACATGTGTGTAAATAATATTTATTAGTAGATAAAAATAATTATTATATATATATAGAGAGATAAAATGAAAAATATTTTAAAAATTTTACAAAACCAGGATAAAAAAATAAAAAAATAATTCTAAACAAATGTATATTTAAGTTTTTTCTTAATATTGATCATTTAGTTTATTAAGAATTTATTTGAGTAATTTTTTTATCAAAACATGTAAATAAAACAAAATATAAAAAAATAGAATAATTTATTTATTTATTAGTCAAAGTTAACTTATGGAAAAAAACTCTCCCATATAATCTCTCTAAAAAAATAGTCTCATTCTTCTTTTAAAAAAATGTTTATAAACAAAATTATTACCATTATATAAAATATTTGAGACAACATTATGTAGTGCAAGAGCACACTCAATACACAAATTCTAACTCCTCACATTAATTTTAGGTTGTAATTCTCCCTCACATTAATACACATGCATTATCTTTGTTCTTCAAAATGCTGTGTGCTGGAGGGACTCACAGTGCTCAGGGCAATAGATCCTTTTTTTCATTTTTTACTTTTACCACAAAAATTCTCTCAGTTTAGAGTGTGCATGATAGCTTCTTCAAAAACACTGGCCAATAGTTAAGGAGAAAAAAAGAAAAAAAGTGGGTTTGTGTATAAAAATTTCACATGATTTTGATACAAAATTTAAAAGGTGAGTGGATGATGATGGACAGTAGTATCACCTCTTCTGTCCCCATTGAACAGTATGAACCCTTTCTGTGTGTTATGTTGTGTGCAAACATATACAAATGACTTTCTGCACTTGTCTATTTTAAAGTGGGTTCTGCATATTGTTCTGAAGTGGCTCATCACCCAGAGTGAGAAAAATATGGACTATAATATTTTTTTTATATAGTTATAATATAAAGATATACATTTAACATTATGTGTATATGGTTAATTTTTTTTTTTTTTTTAATGGTAGGGGTGGAGGAGATACATGAAGGAGTATCTAAATAACTACCTTCAGAAAGGTTTCCACAAATGGTCGCAGACAATTTCACTTCATGTGGCTCTCCTCATGGATAAAGCAAACTTGGGTCAATAACTGAGCAAATCAATCATGAGATCCAAGCTTAAATAATTAAATTTTAATTTTTTAAAAATATATAATTATTCACAAGTAATTTATCCTTTACAAATATTTAATCTTGTATTATTACATTATTTGTCTTTCAGAAAACGGGTCAGGGTTGGATTATCATCAGGCAATATTCAATCTTATTTGAAAATACATTTTCTAATAATAATATTTTCGTATGTGTAAATATAGAAATAAAAAATATAATAATAAAATGCATTATTTTCAATGAAATTTCATGTCTATTTAAAAAAGAATTTAATAAAGGTTAGGTGCTATAAATGAAATAATAAATTATAATATATATGTAGTGATGATGGTGGCTTTTGTTTTTTGGGACCAAAAAGGCACATTTGAGACAAGGTAACCCCAGAACAGTGAGTGGTTAAGCCCTAGTGTTACATTACACATCATTGTCCAATTACACATACATGCTCTTAGTATTAGGGTCTTCATTCAATTATAGCCTACTTTTCAACCTACTCTCTTTTATTATTATTCTTGTCCAACATGTGGATTAATAACTCGATATTTTCTCTTAACTTCAGTTACTCATGGTTACTTTGTAACTTCACTAAAGATTAAAGAAACAAATAAGCTCATTTATTTGTTTGGTTTAAATTAATTAATTTTTTTATCAAATTTTAAACAAATTCAATTAATTATTTTTAGTTTATTTGGTTTGTTTTTCAATCATTTGTGGTTTTTGAAAATAAGATTGTTACTTTATAAGTATATGTCATCAGCACCCCTTTTTAAAAAGAGAGGGTAGGTACTCCCCTTTTCATTCTTATTTTCTCAACGTTGGGCCACTGAAGCCCATTTCAACTAATTGAGCCATTTTCTCAAACCCAACTCGAACAAGAAGTTCATGTTATAAATTTGAAATTATATATATATATATATATATATATATATATATATATATATATATATATATATATATATATATATATAAAATATTATCACGTAACAAATATTTAGAGAAATAGATACTACAATATTCATGCCCATGAACTAATGGATTTGAATGATGTGTCATCCACGTTATATTATAATAATATGTGAATTTATTCTATCTCTAAAATAAGTTTAATATACAAAATTTGATATCTAGAGTTTGATTTCAGTTTTTTTAATAAATTTTAAAAAGTTCAAGTTTTAGTTTTTATAAAACATTATATTTTCTTTTTTAGTGAGACATGGTAATCAATATTAAGCGAAAAAAATATATGAATATTATTGGTAGAGGTATATTTATTTTTTGTCAATCCAATCTAATTTTTTATTGAAACTATTTATGTAAATTTAAACCTCTTTGATTGAAACCTAGTAATATGAAACAAGAGAATATTAATATGATATATTAATATTAACTTTATTAGTTATTAATGAAGATTTTTATTAAATTTTCAATAATGTTAAGACATTATTTAATGTTTTTACTCAGATAATATATCAATAATATAAAAAAATCTATTACAACCCCTCTCATACTTACTATGACAATAATATTACCTTATTATATTAATGATTATAATATAATATTTTATAAGGACTACAAATTAAAAATTTTAATTTGTGAAGACTAAAATTAAATTTTAAATTTTATAAGAAGCAAGGTTAAACTTTTTTTTATAAATAATTTATTATTGATGTTAGACTTTTGATGAATAAAATTTGATTATATTCAATAATCTATTATAATGGTTCATTCATGCTCTACCCAGTGGCAATTAACCATTTATTTAACTTCAATTTTTTTTTTCTTTTAATTTTTTTTAAGTAAAAACTAAAACTCAAGTTAAAACATGGAAAGGATAGTTAACTTGTGTTCCAGATTTCGAATAGGAAGCATCTTTGATAGGTGTGAAGTTGGGGTGTTGAGAATCGGAGAAGGGGAATGGAGCAGAACAAGAATCAGAGCCAAACACTCACTTCCTCACCCCTTTCTCCTTTCACTCAACCAATCCGTTGCATAGTCAAACTCGGTATCACACTCTCTGTGCTTTTGCATCTAAACTCCTTTTTATTATTTGCATATTTTCTTTTCAAAGATTGTTGCTTTACAATGTTGCTAGTCTCTTCCATGTCAAAGTATGTATTTTCTCTCGCATGTAAGCATCTGTGGTGTCTCTTATAGAACAAACTGACAGACCCCAGAAGAGTGTCTGTTCTGTTTTGTGAAATTTGGATGTGGCCCATTAGTGTTGTACATGGAGTGCTTTACTGTGAGGGTTTTCCATCAGTGGAAAAGGTGAAATGCTTTTGGTGGGGTATTCAGGAGGAGCAGCAATCACCTGCAAAAATGAATTGGAGATGATAAATGAGGAGGTTCTTCAGAAGGTTTCAGAACAGCTGAGGCAAGCAATGATTACATCTTCTGAGAAGCCTCCCGGGATGGATTGGAGCAAGAGACCTGGAGGGTCAGAAATTTGTTGCAACCCGGAAGAATTTGGAGATCATTCTCCAATTGAATGTAGTCCTTTCATTGTTGTTCATGGAGCAGGTTCCTTGAGTTTCTTTTCTTTTTCTCTTTATGTTTAAAGTAAACTTTTTTTTTTCTATTAATATTAATAAAAATAAGATTCAGTTAGAATAGTGCATACACGGACAAGATAAAGGCATTTTACACCCTCATCTAATCATATATTGTCATACAAAACTAAGTTTGTTGATTTTAATATTAACTACTTACTTCAGATGATTTTCAATTGGTTGATGGTATAAGTATTTTTATATTGATAGTGCATGAAAATTAAACTCTAAAACTGTTGGGAAAATTAGTTTTTTTTTTAACATTTCGATTTCGTATGTTCCGGGACTGAGTACGCAACATTACATTGGTCTTCTAATTTTTAATGACACCAAATTAATCCTCTAATGATAGTTAATGTGGTAAGATTCATGGACCAATTTGATGTTATTTTAATGATCCATTTTATGGCAAACTGAAAGAAAGTATGACATTAAAGGACCACACTGATGTAAAACTGCCACATATATCTTTTGCATATCAATTTGAAGTATCTATAAATGAAAGACCAATTTAATGTTCGTAATCTATTTATCGTGATAAATTATTCAAATTAAAACTGTTATAGAGTTGAATGGATGGAGTAAGCAGAATTAACAATTTTTATTTGTGGTTATCTCAGGTTCTTTTGGGCACTTCCAAGCTTGCAAATCTGGTGTTCACAAGGGGCAACTGAATAAACCTCTTGTCAAAGGTGGCTTTGTTGCTACCCGAATATCTGTAAGTAATTGTGGTCAAGATATCTCCAGTTTGATTTTTTGAGGTTGTCAAGACAAGTTTGACATATAGCAGCTGCGAAATAACTTCTTTTACCATATCCAAGTTGATACAAACAAACTTAGTCCTGCATTTCACAATAAAACTCAAAGTCTTTGCTTCCACATTCAGTTTATACGCAGATGATAAGCGCTTTTTTATTTTTTATTTTTTTCGAAGGGGGATTTTATAGGTCTAATTTGTAACCATAATAATTTTGAAATGCTTTGCATAATGTTACAACAAGTCAAAATTGTAGAATTGAACTATTGTCGTATAAATAAGAAAACATTTGTTAAAAATTGAAGCACTGCTCCTTAAAATTTACCAATCCTGGGAAAGAAATCTTCTGAATCTAACATGTGCATATGGCAGTTTTATAACTTTAAAAGGAAAATTTGACTGCTGGCATGATGACATCATCTTGAATCTGGTTTATGATGAATATATTTTTTGGATCTACCATAATTCTCAAAGTTTAGATTGTAAGCAGTAGATATATTTTATAACTGCAGAGGAGATTAATCAAGTGTGAAATATCACAAAAGGGATGATTGGTTGGTGTAGTCTCCAGATCACAATGTATGAAAAGAAAAAGGGTCTCCATAAGTGCCATATTTATATATTAGAAGAAATTGACAGAGTGGTATCACTAGAGTATTATGATAATATTGATTATTTTTATTTTTACTTATATGTGTGGTCTGAAATTTTTATAATCCTTAATCAATATGCAGAACAACTTTTTTCAATATTAATAAATTGTTTATATGCAAACTACTTTCAGGTTGAGAATTGTCTCCGTTCTTATCATTCTTTTTATTTTTAATTTCAGGTAACAACTCTTAATCTGGAAATTGTTAGAGCACTAGCCAGAGGTAGTTTAACAACTATTACTATTGCTATCTTTTGTGTCAAACCTTTCTGCTTTTGTATACGTGATCTAGGTTGTCATGAGTAATGTACTGAATGTTATCATGGTAACAACATGATATAAATTTAACCTTTTTAGCCATATTGAGATTTGTCTCACGTGGTTGTTGTCTATCTCCACCAGTCCTCTGTTCATGTTTGGTCACTATTTTGATTTTACTAATGTGACATCTTCCTGGTTTCATTATTTTGGGCTGGCCCTTATTAATTAATGTGATACTCTCCTTGCCAAAGTTGAACCACAAACTCTCCCACTCTCCGCTTGGTAAATGTTAATCTATTCTTTTACGAAATTTGTAAGGTGAACAGAATAAACTTCTGAAAGCAAAAGTCGATAAAATTTTGTATTTCTGCGAACTCTTTTTTTGCGTTTACAATTATTAGAACACCAATAACCCGCCAAAACTGGAAGTTTTTGCGGCATATACCTTTTCATCTGTTGAATGAGGGTTCGGTATGTAATTGAAAATTTTTGTAAGCCATGAGTTGCATTGATAATAATGATCCTTCAGCCGAAACTTAATACTTGCTGCTATCTGTCATTCTGTTTCACCCCTTTTTTTGGCATGTTCTTTGCAAAGTAATGGAATTCGTTCTTAAAGATATTCATTTCTCTGTGCAGAGGGCATTCCATCAATTGGAATGTCACCTTTCTCATGTGGATGGTTCACCAGTGAGAGACATGTTAGTTAACTTTTTAACTGAATATTTGTCAGATCATATTCATCAAAATAATGAATTGATTATTTGTTTTGTCTTCCTTGTCAGATAATGTTATTATTTTACTCAGCTAACTTCATATTCAACATCTCAGATATCTTCAGCTGATTTATCTTCAGTGGCTAAGGCAATTGATTCTGGTTTTACACCGGTAAGAGTGAATATTAAATTTATTTCACTACTCTGATGGTTTTGACCATTGTGTACAATATTTTATTTTTTCCTTTGTACACATATATAACTTAATTGTTTTTTCTGTTTTTCTTTTTCCTTTGAATAACATTTTTGTTTAGGTTCTGCATGGCGATGCAGTGCTTGATGAGATTCAGGTAGAGACCAAGTGTATTCAGTTTATTGTTCCTTATTCACTCACTATCAATGGAAATGGCATTTTAAGTTAGTTTGCTTTCAGGGATGCACTATTTTGAGTGGAGATGTTATCATAAGTCATCTGGCTGCGTACTCAAAGCCTAAATATGTTGTTTTTCTGGTATCCTGCATATATATAATTTGTAGCAGTTTTCATTCTTGAAATTCTACAAATATAAGCTCTCTCTGAACATACCAAACCTAATAGTATTCTAGTTACTGTTTAATATAGAGTTCCATTCATATCTTCAAACGATGAATATCATGAATATATTGCTAAAAAAACTCAACTTTTTTATTTTCATTTCTCACCACATTTGTAATACTTCAAATGACTGAGCAGTTTAGCTATCAAAGAGGTCTGTATGTTTTAATTTCCTCTCAATGCAAATCTCCATATGTGAGAAAAAAAAAAATCTTTGGTGCAAATAAAAGTTGCTTGAAACATGTACAGAATGACATTTACTTTGTTTAAATCTGTGGCAAACCTGCACTTCGGGATAAAGAATTGTATTAGCAGACATTGCAAATATGCAAGATCTGCGAAACCAGAATTTTGAATTATCATGGAACAAAGTAAGCCACAAATTATATATCTTAAATTTAAGAAGACATTACACGAATGTTTTCCATTAACTATGACTGAAAGACAGATGTATATGGGGTATATGATCGCCCTCCAACAGAACCTGATGCAATACTCTTAAAGGAGATTGGTAAGCATTTGTAGTAAACTTGACCTTCAATAGGGTCTATTCTCTTCATGATTGGATAATATAAGAAACATTTTCAACTGTTGTGATAGCTGTTGCTGACGATGGAAGCTGGTCAGTTGTAAAACCGACATTGCAGAACTCAAGTAAGCAGACTTAGTAAATAAATATTCATTTTTGTTTCTCTTCAATTATTTGGTCTGGTAAATTTTGTAGTGGGGCAGTTTCTGAAATTATTAGTCCAGTAACTGTTATAAGAAGAACTTTTAGACATTCACAATGACTTAGTCATTGCTTTCTGGTTATTTCTGTTGAGGGGTTCAATTGAGCTGAAATATACGGATTGCATTTTCACGGCACATGTTCTCTACAGTTGAACTAACAGTTGCTGCTCATGATACAACTGGTGGCATGAAAACAAAGATATCAGAAGCTGCAATGATAGCAAAACTTGGAATTGATGTCTACATTGTTAAGGTAATGTTTGTTACATTTGATCTGTTTGTCCTTCACTTCAGAGCTCCTAATGTTGAAACCTATGACTGCATTTCAGGCAGCTACAAGCCACTCATTAAGGGCCTTAAATGGAGATCTGAGAAGCAGCATCCCTGATGACTGGCTTGGGACCGTTGTTCGGTCCTTGAGATAAATCTGCCATTACAAAATCTTTTGCATAGCTCCCGACCGTCAACATGAAGTAGTAATTTTTTTACCACATCATGAATATTGTCTTAAGTGTTTTTAATATCCGAAGGGATTCTCGTGATAAATAAGTTACGTTGGATTGATTCATGTACCAATCACATTAATATAGTCGAAGAAATAAGACTTTCATCAAAGAAAATATAAAATTGTCTTAATCATGCATAATATTGCCACACTTCAGTCACAAATAAATTGTCATATAATGAGACAAGTTAACATATTCATGGTGGAAATGCAATCCCTATTTCCTAAAAGGTTCAGTGAATGAAAAAGGATTTCTAAAGAAGCAACAAGTATTAGATGTAGCTGAAACTTGGCGTTTTCATTTATGCCTCATCTTTCTGTTGAAGGAACTGGCATATGATATTACCATATAAATTCAACAGAAGAAAACAACAGTCCAAGATTCAAGGATTACATTTTTCATTTACGCCGAACGAAGCATAAAATTCAGCTGCAATTGACGAACATCATGATGAAGAAAGTTACATAGAAAGAAAATACTACATAAATAAAGGGGGGACATTCCTCTAGCATTTCATTCCCTAGCATATATTTTTGTTCGTGAAAATTATTCTCTCATTGGCCGGTCTTTTAAGTGAAAAACATTACTATGCTAAGTAGGGCTCTAAATTTTAAACAGAAAAATTTTGTTTGCATAACAAATTATATAATTGATATAATTAAAGAGAGGAAAAAAAGAAAAAAAAAAGCATAAGATGCAGTAAATTATCAGACATTGAATATAGAATAAACTATATTAATTTAAGATCTTGACAGTATTAATTATTTATTCTAACTATAAATAAACCATACCAGTATCTCCGCACACAATAAAATATGAAACAAAAATAAAATATCGTATAAATTGAGTTATGGTTTATTGTATGAATTAATACATTTTTATTGAAATATCTGTTAAATTGGTTCTTTAACTTTACCAAGAGAATCAAACTTGAAACCATTTCTGAGTACTTCGTACAATTCAATCAAAATTAGTGTTTTTCTTCTGTTATATGCTTAATAATGGTTTGCATCAGAAATTAGCATGGATTATTAAACTAAAGCAGTAATAGGATTGTATTTAAGTTTTAAAACTACCAGAATTATTTACACTTTTAAATAAAATAAAACGTAAATTCTCGACCTTTAAAAAATATATAATGTATTATTTTCTGGAATGCATATAGCGAAGAACTCTTCTCAAACACAAACACATCCTACAATGTGGTAGAGGTGAAGTTTAAACTATGCTATTTACAACAAAACAAAGTGAGTATTGTGTTAAAAAGTGGATTTGTGTTATTTACTATCTACTCTTCAGCATCAAAAAAAGTTGAGGAATGTTTACATTTTAAACTGTCAACTGCAACACGACTGCTTCATGTGCTTGTTGATGAAAATAAGGAATGGCTCCATGTGGAGTTTACAACAAGAAAACTAAATCATACCTACCTTCCATGATTTGAGACAATGTTTTGCCTTCTCTTCGTCAAGATGAAAAAAGGTACAATAAGATAAACTATTCTATAAACAAACATTTATGGAAGAAGCAAATGTTAGTGAAACGATACTAACTCAGTCGTAAATTTTATAATGTTCCTAAATATTATTATATATCTAGTCAACCTAATAAAGAATAATTTTCAATATCAATAATCTTAATGTCACTAAAATTCATTATGATATTATATTAGAAATAAAAATATTCCAATTCCACTCTGTAAAATCGATTCAGTAAGTTCAAATTTGTAGTCTGTAATATTATTATAATAAATTATTATAATATCTCTAGTTGAGATTTTGTCGGAAAATAGGAAGGATAAATGAAATAAACTATCCCCTAAGTTAAAACCAATTTATGTTAGCTTCTGCAAGATTACACAGAAGTTTCTTATATTTTTTTCTTTCTATTTAATTTTTCTGTGAAACTTTACCAAACAACTTCAATATAAGTACAGAAAATCTAACATGAATTTGAGGGAACTGGTACAGAATTCAAGCAAAAAACAAAAACAATTGAGTACAGAATTAAGGGATCGCATTTTTCTTTTCCCTGGGAAAGGCATACATTTCAAATGCAATTAAGAAACATCATAATGAAGAAAATTTTAATGCCAGCGGCCAACTATAACATAACATTTAACACTTCATGGTTCTAGTATTGATCCAACACAATAAAAATATAGGTCAAGGACTCCGAAATAAAGCCATCCAATTTTGACCACATCTTGTGAGAATGGTACAAACTTTGGGTCATTTAGCATACAAACCAACATGAAAGTGAAAAATAGTAATAAATACTATATCATCTCAGTTACAACTTCAGCGTTCCAGCATTAAACATGAAACTATTACTTGGGACCAATGTCCTTAAGGGCACAAATCTGCTCCTCTCCCATAGAAGACATAACAGACACAACCAGATCTTTGCCCTCAGCAAATCCATCCTTGATCTGCTTGATACAGATTGAAATCAGTAGAAGTTGGAGCAAATTATGAAAGTTGAACAGATGATCAAGATCATGCCAGATTCCTCACTTTGTTTAATCAAACACAAGTTAACAGAACCATAATACAAATAATGTCATCATCAAATGCTCATGCTTCACAAACCATAATTTAACAATTTCGTGCAACTATTCAACATAAGAAGCAGAACAAATCCAGATTGTGTATAGTCGGTATCAAACTAACTAACCTGCGAAAGCAGATTTTCATCGGTTGGAAGTCTAAGATCATCCTTAGTACCACCAGTCTCAGTCAGCAAACTCACCTAACATATTCAATGAAAGGGTAACATACATTATTAACCAAACTATAGTAACCACATCATATCAGGAGAGTATGTGATAAATGAAATCAAACAACTATACAGGGATATGATAAAGATGAAATTCAATCAGATATAGCTTATTAACTACACATCATCAACTATTCATTTGGCTACTTTAGTTATTTGGTGCCTGTCAGACTCAGCATTTTATAAAAAAATTGATCATAAAATAAACCAATCCAAGCTTGCAATTAAAGAAAATCATGTAAATAACCATTTGTCCTACCAAAATAACTATATTCACATCACATCAAAACACTGGTATCGACATCTCATAGGTGTATATGAAAAGGGGAAGGAGTAAAAGATACAAGTGTAATTGAAATCTCACGAATCCATCCTCTGAGATATCGATGAGCTGGTAGTCAGTACGATTGACATGAGGAACCTGTTGGAACCACAAAACACATAAATCATACCATAAGAAGCAAAAGTGGCCTAATTAGAAAAGCAAAACTCAAATCCAAAAAAGACACTCTTATACATACATCACAGTTATGGGAAGATGGCACAATATCCTCAAGCTTTTTCCCAGTGAAGATGTCAATTCCAACAAAGTGACACTTTGCGTGTCCATGCTTGCCAGTTTTGGAAGTTGAAACCTCCACAACCTGTCCAGCCAACACAAACCCAAAAATCAATAACAAAACTTTAACCTAGTTTTCCACCAGCAAAACCCCTCAAAAGGGAAAAAAGCAACAAAGTTCCACTTGAAACTCAATTTCATCAAAAAGAACCAAGTGGGGTCTGATTAATTACGTCAATTGTCACGATCCACTTAACAAAAATAAACCTTTCGATAAAATTCAGTGCAAGCTTGATCAAAAGTGCAAAACTCAAAGGGGGATCATATTTTTTTTTCTAAAACAAAGAGAAAAAGAAAAATTAACCTTGCATGGCCTGTTTTTGATGACAATGTAACCGTTTTTGCGGATGGTTCCAGCTTGTTGGGGAAATGTTTTTGATGCTCCAGCATCAGCCTTTGACTCGAAGTGGTGTTCCTCGTCCGACATAGTTATGGTTCGTCACACGCATCATAACGTGTGATGCCTCTGGTTTTCCTTTTATAGACGCACACTAGAGAAGAACATTGTAACATTTTTCTTTTTCACGTTTTTTTTAGTTGGTGATAACTATTAAACTTTTTCAGGTAATATTGAACAACCCACCACCAACCTCGAGTTTATCTTGTAAAATTCGCAAGTATTAATTAAATAGAAAAATAATTGAAAAGCTACAAAAAATAATGTAGCATAATTATTTCAAATAAATATATGAAATATCAATTAAAATTATAGAAAATTATGTATAATTAATTAAAATCTTTGAATTTCGTTTTAAAGAGGTATTAATGACACGTATCCTGTGTTCTAAAAAATGGATAGAATTAATTTACTGAAATACCAGTGAATCAATTTAGTGTTTATTATAAATAAACTATAAGACCCATTTTAAGAAAATTTAGCAAAAGAACAAAAAAAAATTACAATGGATCAATGAAAATATTTGATACAATGACTTTTTCTTTATTTTTTTAATGTTAATTTTTTAGATATAATTTTATTATTGTTAATGAACATTGTTTTGTATTTGTTAAAACTCATTTCTAAATACTACGATATATTTAATTGAGACTTTTATGCATATTTTGAATATACTAAAAAAACACTACAATAGTACCACAATTTTAGTAATCAAATTTGACATTATAGTTTTTTAATCTTAACTTATATTGTTAACACAATTAAACCTGTCCTCATTAATTTGGTTTGAAGACATCACATATATTATTAGTTGAAGCTCAAAAGATAAAAATTTCAAGTAGTATTTTAAGGTGAGCAATATATATAATATATTTATATAAATAACTATTATTATATATTTATATAAAAATTGTTTTAGTGAAAATTTTAATTCTCTAATGTGTATGTTTTACTATAATCTATAATATATGAGTGCGTTTAGTATTTAGAGGTAGAGAGGATGATGCTATTTACTTTTCGTAATTTTGAATCTAAAAATGGAGGATATATGTTAAATTAATAAACTCATAAAATAAATTGTAATTAATTAAAATGGTTACGAAATATTACTAAAAGCATGTGGATACTTTTATTAAATAAATTAAATTTATATTTAATAAAAATAGAAAAAGAAGCAAGATATTTTCCCATAATTTATTTTTAAAGAAGAGACCAAATTCTTCTAAGAAAAAAAAGTTAATCATATCATAAATTTATTATTTTGTTCAAATAAATAACGTTTATCCTTTCGATTCGTTCTAATCGTTTTTTTTTAATTTGGGAAAATAAGTTTGACTGGTTGGATTAGTCTAACTAAATAAGGTGTAAAATGAATTGGATGAATAAAATACGTGTCTCATCATCCTCGTCTTGTTTCGAAAATATGCGTTTATTTATTCTTTTAGAAAAGTCTTCAACAAGTGCAGTGTTGGATTTGCGTTGATCGAACGCCACAACTACTCGTAGCCACGTGTGGCTTTCTGGGACCCGCACTTCATCAAGGTTCTTTCTTCTTTTTCTCATCATTTTACGTATTTTTATCAGATAAGTGAAGAATTAGTCCTCAGCCGCTAATTTTGCATCTAAATATGTTCATTTTCAAAGCAATGATTAACAAAACGTATGATGTCAACTTTTATGTATTGGGAAGAAAGAAAAATACTGATCTGACGAGTCCATTATAAAGAGAATAAGCGTAACAGACTTGAGATCTTAAAAGATTATTTTATGAAAAGTATTATGCAAATTAAATAAAAAATCATAAGAATGTAATGGTTTTTCAAATCGAAAACCATATTTTTGACACCGAAAACTACCCGTACATTTCACAAACGGGTCAAAATCTTCATTATTTATAAGGGTTCGATTTATAATTTATAAAAGTGAAAAATGTAATATTATTAAAGTTAAAGATCAATTTATAAAAGGCGATATATATAATGAGTAGGACAATATATGTAATAAATGGACTAAAGAGTCCTTCTCTCTTTTAAATTTTTCACCCATTGCAATGTTAGTGTTGTTTATCTTCGGTGGCGTGTTCGTGTTTGATAGCATCATCGTCTCGATAATGTGGTGAGGACCAATCAGATTCAGATTTGAGAATATGAGAAGAGAAGATTCACATTAGATAAATTAGATGTAGTGCTTACTTTTCCGGTTATAAAAAAAATATCATGTGTATCTTGAAAATCACTCTAAATCTCTTTTTTTTTTTCTATTAATGCATTGCATAGTAGTTAAATTTTCTTATTTTTGAGAGATAATGTTATTATTGTTTTCTCCTTAGATTTAAAGAGGATATTGTAATTTCTTTCGATAGTAAAATTTTATTATTGTCTATTATCTATTTTGTTTCTTTTTTTCTTATCTTTTATTTTAGTTATGAGTTCTTATGTAGTTACTTTGATTCCTGACAATAGTATCAGAGTCAATGATTCGTCCAGTGACTGGTGACCGACTCAGTTGAATATAGTAGGTGAAAGGTTCATGTGTCAGGTCCATGTGTCAAAAGTCTTGCTGACAAGAGTCTCAGGCAAGCGAGTCTCATTAAGTTGAATGACCTTACAAATAAGGTCATCACTAGGTACTCATGGCTTGACTTCGGCTTGAGGGGGAGATATACTAATGTGAAAGGAAATCACACTTGAGGGGGAGATATTGAGAATTCAAGTGTGAGTTTCAAGTCTCACACTGGGTAGAAATGAGAAAGTTGAGTAACTTATAAGTGAGAAAGACCCATAACCTAATGCCTTAAGGTTTTGGATTGAAGGTGATGTCATATTCTCTTATATGCACTCTTAATCGCTAGATTTGTGAAGCCCTTCCATTGTCTTTAAGTAGTAGGATTTGTATCCTAGAGATGACCACACAACACCGTGGTGAGGACCGATAATGTGTGGTCTATCTCGAGCATCGTGCTTTGTCCTTATCGATTGTTGGTGCTGCTCATGCTTACACATTTAGAAAGGTACTCAATGGTTTTATTTCTACACATATTTGAGTCTATGTGTTTCATCAACATAATGATTTCTCTTATGTTATAGATAGATATGTTTAAGAAGATTGGTGCCAGATAAAAACTAATGCTAATGTATAAAAAAAAGCTTCAAGATGATGTAAGAAAACTAGAGTGAATTTTATGTGAAACAATGTCTAGGTAGAAATGTTTCTATTCTCTCTTTTTTTCCGAGCAATTAGACAAAAAGCTTAAATTTTATGTGAAAAGTATATATTTGGATGTAAAAATACTAATGTGATTGTTTGACCAGATTCACTTTTGTGTTAAATGGTTCATGTGATTTATATATGGGATAATACTACAATAATTGTATTTTGATAACTTAAAAAATATGGTATAAAATAAGTTCTGGAGTTCCTCTTAAATTTTGCTTGAATGAAGCATATGCTTATTTGAAGATTGATCTAATAATCTTGTTTTGTGCTTCTTTGTTGCAAGATGGATGGAAAGTACATGTTGTTGAAAGGGATTTGAGTGAACCTGATAAGATTAGAAAATTTACAACTTTGGTGACTTTCGGGTTCAATTTTGCTCGAGCGAGAGTTTACTCACTCAAACAAAAGACATGTCGCTCGAGCGACATAAATTTCGCTCAAGCGAGAATCTCTGGAATAAGAAACATGCTCTTGGGTCATGTTTCGCTCAAGCGAAAATTACGAAGATGTGATTATCCTATGAACTTTATCTGGTTAACTAAACAATGCATTTTGTTTTATTTATATGCTACGTTTATTCATTCCTCCCATATATAGTTATCTCCTTGACTTTATATAGTTAACTATTGATGACATTTTGTTTTATTTATCTATTGAGTTTTCCATATGTGGTTACTCCCTAACTCAAGAAGGCATTTTGTTTTATTTATATGCTATGTTTATTCATTTCTAACATTTTGTGTTATTTATTTGTTGAGTTTATGTGGTTACCCCCTTGAACTTTATATGGTTAACTAAACAGGACATTTTGTTTTATTTATATATTAAGTTGACATAATTATCCTCTTGTTATTTGACAATAGTATTTTGTTTCATTTATTTGCTGAGTTTATCATCAGGGCTTTATACATTTTAGTTTAAAAAATAATTTGTATAGTGTGTTTAGTATGAGACATCTCAAAGAACAAATTAGTATTTGTTTTTCATTTGACAATGATATTTTTTTTTATCTTCTCAATTTATCATTACACTTTACATGGTTAATTATACATGACATGTTTTTTTTTTGTTATGTTCTCGTCTTATTATCACATTGTGTTCCATACCAATCAATATGAAAAATTATTTGTATAATGTGGTTATTAGGAAATATGTGAAAGAACTTGGTCTTTTTTTTTCATACCTTATATATATGGTTACTTCATTCACTTTATATGATTAATTGAACGTGAAATTTTGGTATTATTCATCTGATTATCTTATAATCACATTGTTCTCCGTTACTTTCAACATGAATATTGTGTCTATTATGAAACACGACAAAGAACATCTTGATTTTTTTTCTTATAACATATGATTAACCACTTGATTTTATATGATTAGCTGAACATGGCATTTTATTTTACACCTTTCACACATAACATTTATGCTTTACCCAAATGAACTTACATGTTTAGGCGAATAATACAATCAGAAAACACATAATACTATGACTATGCTACAAAGAGTAATATCCAATATCACATCATGAGAGACCATAAAACTTACGGTTTAAAATCAAAACATAAAATAGAAATTAATATGTTTTTCTCGGGTCAAAACAACTAAAAACAAAATAATTAGTTTACACACTATCTACTAACACTTATGTGACCCTTTTTCTTTTCCTTGAATAAGAAGTCCATGGTGTTTTGACCACAAATTTTAACCGAGTTCTTGGATGGGCTTTAAGTTGAACGTGCGTATTTAACCATTCACAATGCATTTTTTATTCTTTTTCCCCTTCAGTATTATGCAGTTTTGATTCTTCTTCTCCTTTTCATTCATTATGTATGTTTCCATTTCAAACTGCAAATACATATAACCCTATTTAATTTAAGTTCATATTGTAGAATTTATTTACTATGATGACATTCACTATAGATCCAACACATGCACATAACTATTTCATGATAATATTCTGAATATCATCTAATAATCAATATCATAAAACTTATGTCAAATCATATACTCCTGTTAATGGTTAAGGGTCAACAAAATACAGTAAAAAAAATTCATATATCAGTCACAATATCTAATAATTGAATTTACTAATTGAAATCATAAACATTCAATATTTCTTACTAACAGAACAATACAAACTCAATGGTGTAGTTCTAACTAACTACATTTTATCATCACATATTTACTTGTAAATTTATTCGTTCATCTTCAAAAATAATTGTGTAGGAAAGTAATCCTAAACCAAGCGATAAATAACCCTAATCCTAAACCAACAACAAAGTAACCCTAATCCTAAACTTACATAAGATTATTTTTAAATGGGTTATCGATAAAAAGTTGTTAAAATATCGATATTCTTTTCAAATATTCTTTTAAAATATTTTTATGATTAGAATTTATATTATAAAAAATTTATACTTTGTTAATAAATATTAATTCATAATAATTTTATTAATATTTATAATATTTATATTTAAATAGATTTAATATAACTGATTTAATTTAGCAAATAATTAAGTAAAAAACAAGGTGATAAACTTAATAAGTGATAATCAATGTGGTATTAAAAAGTATCGAGAAGCCTAATATGCTACTTAATCCCTAATATACCAAATTAGAATACGTTCTTATCTTTTTATGGAGAAATATAGTCTCATGAACCAATTATATCTTTAAATTGTTGATTTTCGTGAATTTTTGAGTCATTATGGCAATAACATAGAGTCAATGATCCCAGACGATAAAGACAAACACAGTATCATTTACGTGCCTAAACTTACACTTATCCTTTACAATTTCACTTCCCTATAAGAATTTGTAAAGATGAAGCATTTTTCGACTTTTTTATTTTTCTTAAATAATATTAAAAAAATTATTAATTATAAAAATAGACCTTGTCCATTTTATTTATCTAAATAGACTTATTTATTGTGTAAGTTAGAATTCAATTTCCGAAAAATTGAATTTCAAATGAGAATGTGTTACGCTGGAACTAGTATACACTTTTTTTTTTCTAACAGCTTATATTTATGATTTAATATATAATTATATAATTATATATATTTATATAATTTTAATATATTTATATAAATATATATCAAATACAATGATATCAATATAGAAATATATAAATATACAATTATTAAATAATGCTAATATTTATAAATATATTCATATATTCTACATAATAATATATATATATATATATATATTAAGTTATAAATATAAGCTGCTGGGATAAAGAAAAAACACATAATTCTAAATTCTGACAATTTTTATGGTTTCAACGTGGTACATTCTCATCTTCATTCGGTTTTTACAGGAATCGAATTCTGATTTTACACAATAAACAGATTTATTTAAATAAAATAAAGTGGATGAGATCTATTTTTGTAATTAATGATTTTTTAATATTATTTCGGACAAAAAGTAACATTTTTCATAACGGAAAATATCATTTTATGGCCATTTCATGTCAAACCAGGAAAATAACTGAGTGAACAAAGGCCAACATCGAACCAAAGAAACCCGTGTATCAAAATATATACAAAAAGATTAACCATTTACCTTCGTCGGCAAGCATAGCCATAAATGCTTAACTTTTCCTCCTAGCAGAAATTGATCCAATGTCAATGTTGCTCACTTTATGGATGAATATACGAGGTGGTTTTTCTCTATCAGTAGCAAAGAGGCAATAATCAGATTAATAGAATAAAGGCTTGACCCAAAAAATAATATTTTATGTTTAGCTTCTACAAGCAAGGCCAAGGTTTGTTTCTTGCCTAACTGTTTATGAAGTAATTAGTGGTGGTATATATGCAACATGACACCAGCTATCGACGCCTTTCTTGGTCTAAGTGTAGTGAGATGAATGGTTCTCGTAATTTAAAAGGAAAATGAAATGTACAAAGACCAAAGTTCATAATTGAAAATCAATAGAATATACATATTAAATGGCCATAGCAAGACTTGCTATATCCCATTAGGGAGTAAAACAGCATGAGGAAAAACTTCATGATTCGTAACCAAAATAAATAAATGATAACCCATTCTCATATTTTAGGATATCCTGCACATAGAAATTTCAACAATCCAATGCATACAATTAATCAATGATTCAGGTGTTGCGAATACCAAATCTCACTATAACACATCCTATGCATTTTCTTTCATCTGTAAAAAACATAAAAAGGCGTTCTTTATGATTATGAAGCATGAAATACTAAATTTCAATGTCAATGGTAACATTGGAACAGAACAGCAGGTTTCACGTTTAATATGGAAGAAATGTGCTAAGGACGAAAAAGATAAAAAAATACTCACATTTCACTTGCTTCTTGGTAAGTATGGCTTGATGCTACAGCCAGAAGCTGTCCCACGTGGTTATATGATAAGGATGCAACACTATTTGGGTACTTTGGCAACTGATATTGAGAAATATGGGTAGAAATTAGTAAAGCAAGGAAACGATTGAACATATTACAATTTACAAGCACCAAAAGGATTACAAAATTATGAAAATAAATAGGCAAGTACCTCGACTAATCTTCTCTTACTTCCAGCATCCCATATGGAAACATAACCTTCATTGTCACCAGTGGCAAAAGCACCACATACACTGAACAAAAAATAATTTATCAAATTTCGAGTTTTGTCACTTACAATGCAAAATATATAAGAAGGTACTTACAGTGGACTGAATGCAATGTCATTCACTGAGACCGAGTAATGCCGTCCACCATCCTTCGATTTTGGAGAACACCGGAATATATATCTGCGAGGATTTGATAAAGCAAATTGTTAGAAACTGTGGTTGTCATTAACACAATCTGCAAACTCAGATGTTTTCCAACATAAAACATTAGGGTTCAAATCAAACAATAAGATATATAATTTAAATATCAGTTATGAAGGTATATAATTCTAAAGAAATTTTGCAAATAATGGTAGCTGAAATAAAGAATATGGAAACAAGTTGCAAATGTCAGTTTTATTAGTGTTGCGCGAACAATTAAACAGTGAACACCACTCCTTCCCCCCATGACCTCAAAATACGAATCAAACATCAAAGATTTTGTCTTAACGTATTCAATGGTCACGAATACGATAAAGGACATACGATACAACACAAACACAGGGATATGGCAAATTTTAAAAATTATAAGACACAGCAAAACTATAATATCCTGTAAGTTAGTATAAGTTAAGCATAAACACAAATCTCCAATCAAAAGAGGGAATCGAAGTTATAAAAGTGAACATATAAAATGCTATAATATATCTAATTATCATGACATTGATCACAACAGTCGATCTATTTCTCTCTAGGTTGTGTTGACTACATGGATTAAATGACGCGAGAATGTTTTGAAAGAAATCATATCATATATATAAACAAATTATAGGCCTCTAAATCCATACACTTTTGCCTTACAGTTTTTCTCGGCCTTCCTCTACCTCTAGCAACTGGATTGGCTTCCATCTAATCTACTCTTCTTATTGGGACATCTACAAATTTTGTGCGCACATGCCCAAACCATCTAACGTAAGATTCTATTTTTTTCGATAACGGGTGTTACCCCAGCTTTTTCTCTAATGTTTTCATTCTTAATTTGATCTTGTTTAGTATGTGTATGTCCCTTACGCAACATTCTCATATTTGCTACATTGATTTTATTCTTTTGTTGGATTTTTACTGCCCCAACATTCAGTACCATACAACATTGTAGGTTTTATAGTTGAGCTGTAAAATTGTCCTTTAAGCATGAGTGCTATGCCCTACCCCATTTTATTCATTTTAGTTGAATCCTATGATTTGCATCTCTCTATTTCTCTTTGTCCTCTATGATGGGCACGAGATATTTAAATTGTTTGAATTGAGCTAAAGTATACTCCCCGAGTTATAACTAAATCTGAAATTGGGTTGTTATACCTCTTGTTAAACTTACGTTCCATATAATGTGATTCTTCTAAGCAAAAGTCATGATCTTTTCAAAGCTTGTGTCCACATCTCAAATCTCCTACAACCTAAAGTCCAGATCTATATTATGTAGAAAATGCATGCATGGTACCATTGGCTCTTAGATTTGCTTGGTAAGGACGTCCAAGACAATAATAAAGTAAAGAGTTAGGGGTTCAGAACTAACCCGTGGGGCATTCCTATGGATATTGGACAACAGTGACACCATATTATATTCTCACCTAAGTTGTTACCTCCTCGTAAATGTCCTTGATTACTCAATATATGCAATACAATTTCCTTTCTTTCCTAAGGTCATTCATAAAACATCACTTGACTACTAATCGTATACCTTTTCCATGTCAATGAAGACCAAATAAAAATATTTCCGATTTCTCCAATATCTCTCCACCAAGTATCACAAGTATGTTGATTTCATGGCGGAACTCTCAAGTATAGACCCAAATTGATTTTCAATCAAGTTTCTTGTCTTAATCTCTTTCAATTACTTTTGGCCATAATTGGATAGGTATATAAATTTAAAATTATAGCGAAAAGAAATGTAAAATATAACTACGAGTATGTTAGTGTCTATAATTACCTTTTCCCATAATTAGACAGGTATAGAAGTTAAAAAAAATGAAAATTTGTATAACATAGCTACAAGCATGTGACGTGCCTATACATCTACTATTTTGAAGTGTCGTTTCATGACATGGAAACCATCAACTTCAACCCACAATCATACCAAACCAAAAATTGATAAATTCAACATGTGACTGTTCGACTAAATTATGCATATTTAAATAACTCGAGTTTCTTATTTATTATTAATTTTTTCCTGAACACGAATGGAATGCCTACAAGGTTAAAAAAAAATATAGGAGATGTGGAAGTTAAGTTAGAAACTTAAAACGACTAAAGTCAATTGCAACCTTATTATTAGTCTTTCGGCAAGTGAGCAAGTCTTTTGTCTGCCACATCGACAGAGAAAGGGGAAAGAGGACAATCAAATATAATGTATCCTTAATTTAAAAAAATGCATATATGAAATGTAAAATGTTCTTCTAAAACTGACCCAATATCATTTGAACTGGATGGATACGTAATCTGCAGTGATACTCGTCCATCTACTGACCCAGCCGCAAAACCTGCAAAAAGCATCAGTATTAAAGTCTACCTAAACACTGATTGTGATTTATTTCCTATGAACATGTGATTTAGCTATTTTAAATTTCAGATATTAATGGCATCTGAAAAACCAATAACTAAAAATATGATTAAACTAGAAAGATGTTCATAGCGGATAAAAAAAGTAGAGTAGCAATTTTCCTAATTTGACTAAATAAAATAAGACTACATAGTTCATACCTTCTGCACTTGGAATTGAACTGACACATCTTAAGTGCGTTCCATTGAATGCTTCCTTTGACTGAACTGGTTTGTCAAAGTTACGTAAATCATAAACATGAACTGATGCTCCGATAGATATAATAAGGTTAAAGCCACAGACAGACATGGAGTCCACCTCTGCATCCAGATTTCTCAAACACGAAGAAGCGTTCTCCATATGCATGTCCCATAACACTAACTTTTTGTCAAATCCAGATGTGACCAACTGACCTGTAATAACCAAGACCAAGAATAATATCAACTTTTTTAAAAGACAATACAGCATTGCTATAGTAAAGCTTTTATTTGCCGAATCCAGGCATAGCAACATGTTTTATCTTTATGAACTAAGAACACAATAAACATAGAATGAACATCATGTGAATTAAGGTGTAGTTTGTAATTACAATTGAAAACGTCAGCATTAGTAAAATTAAATTACACTTAAGGCATGACTGGCAAGTGGAAACATTTTTTAAGAAAAAAAAAATCTAATACTACTAAATTTCAACTTTACTTTTTATTTTATCTTGCATTCCGCACACCATCAAGAATTTATTGATCACATAAATGATATCCCAAGGCTTCAGAAATGATCTGGGGATTATGATTACAAATTTGTTTAAAGCTTGAGAGGTGACCATTAGGTTTTTACAGTTATGTGAACAAAATACACAAGGACCGTGTCAGAGATAACTACTATCTAAAGTGTACTAGTGACATACCCTGCATGCCTTGACACCATGAAGACAAAAGTAACAAGCAATGTAGATGAGCAATTATCTTGGGTGGAGTGGAACGGTAGGAAGGAAGAGTGAGGATTCCATATTAATAGCTAATATGGCCTTTCAATACCATACCAATACTTAAAATCAGAACAAATTATACATGCTATTAACAGAAATAAATAGTGGTATCATATCAGTAGCTTACAAGTTTCATTGGAATATCCAATACACGTTGCCATATCATCGTGACTACCCACTGTATCAACAAGTCCAGAATGCAAGTCATACCTACAAAGTTTAGCACTAGAGGAGTCAACAACAGCACACTTGAACATATATACCATATTATATGCGAAACTAACGAAATCCAAAGCACGCTGTTTAATGATTTTTATTAATAATTTATCATTAATGATTAAAATATGTAATATTATTTATATTTTCTAAATTCATTAAGTATTAATAAAAACAACATTTTGGTTACTTATGTTCACAACATATCATCAATTTGATCCCGAACTATCACTCTCTCCTAAGTAGTATTTAAACTAACCAAAATATATAAATAGTCCTTAAACTATTAGACATAATGTTACAGAGTCCCTCAAGTTAAAAATAGTCTTCAAATAGTCCCTTGAAAAAATTTAAACATATGGATTAAATTTAAGGATGCTCATCTATAGGAACTACTAAATGAAATTTCATCAGTTTAATGATATTTAATACGCAGTAATTTCATATGCATGATAAAAAATGTAACTAGTAATCAATAATTTCAAGACAAAGAAATAACTCTGAACCAACTCAGTTTCTTCTTCAAGTGGCAAAAATTTGACTTCCTACGTTTGATTTTAACATCTCTGAGTGATTAAAATAGAAGGAAAAGAAGTGGAACAACTTAACATTCAATCTTATGAGGGAAAATTAAGAAGACCTTCGGATCAATCCATCGGAGGCGGCGGAGAAAGCAACGACGTCGTTCTGAAAGCAGCAATCGAGAAGAGGATCCTGCGAAGGAGCTTCGAGTCTGAGGACCGAAGCGTCAACGTCGTAGAGGCGAAGACTCTGCTTCGGAATCAGATTCAGCGAATGGCGAAAGCGAGAACGACAGGGAAAAGGTTAAGATCAAGCAAAAAGAAACTTACAGAATCCCAGGAAGAGATGAGAAGGTTGTTAGAGTGGGGCGCGAATCGTGTTCGAGAAATTGCGTCCTCTATTCCCTTCTCCAACTCCAATTCGAAGCAATCGCCCATCATTTTTTTCGCTAGCTTCAAATTTGAATATTGCCGCTCTCAAATGCTTTGACTTGTATATTCAAAATAGGGTAGCGCGTTCAAATTCCGGATTGACTTTTAATTTTTATTTTTGAGTTTAAATAAATGAAGAATAAAAGAAAAATAATGCTAAAAGTTTACACTGTTTGTTTAGAATAATTAAGAAAGATATTAGTCTTCCTCTCATTTTTCCGAGGAAATTTAAGGAAGAAGGATTTAGGATGATGTGAATTTAAGAGTGTACGTTTGTTTGTATGAAAATAAGCATAACTATCGTATGTTGTTGGAAGAAGCATTGTCACTTGACGACATCCTGCAAATTTGGAATACTGACTACTGTCTGATTTTATTACAGAAATCACTTACGAAAAACACGATATGCTCTTTTTTTCTTTTTCCTTCTTTTTTGTCGAATGGATTTTGCCTTAAATACAACCACCCTGATTAAATTTCAATCAATTAACTCTAAAATCATCAATAAGCAAATATTAATAATTTTTATGTATCCGTAATACAAATATATAATGACAATTTATAAAACTGATTATATGAATATCAAACTATTCAATAATTACTTTTTAAAATTGAGAAACTTGATTAAAAATATTATTAACAAAAGAGGACAAATTTAATGAATATTGAATATTAATAAAGATGGCAAAATGTATAAGTCACTCTAGATGGTTTTGTTTTTGTCCGTAAAAAACGGAATATGAGAGATTAATCTTCAATAATCAAGCTATGTGAAATGGAAAGTGGCAAATTGATCTATCATATATATTTTAACTTTTTTTTATCCTTTTAAATCAAATTTTACAATAAATTTAATAATAAAATTATTATTTATTTATCAATAATTTAATATATATATATATATATCAAGTTAATGTATAAATTAATACATATTAATAAATTATATTTTAAAATAATCAAATTAAGATAAAATTTACATATTTCTACCTTAACACTTTCAAATTTATTTTTATTTTTAATATGTTAAAACTTAAACTCATTCTTAGTTTTATTTTCTTTAACAAAATTAACTATATTTATTAAATGAATAATCTATTTTCTGTTTAAAATTAAAAAAATAAACTTTATAATTCTATAATTTTTTCTTGATCTTGCAAAAATAACATATATAAAAGAGATAAAAAAAATAGATATATATAATTTTTAACTTTCAAGAAAATGAAAAAAATAAACAAAAAAAAGAACAAATTGATAAATTTGGTACATCGGACTAAAAGTACTACCAACCCCACCATATTTATAATGGGATGATGTTTTACCATTCAATAATTCAAACACTCAAAATCAGCAAATACTTGTCAAAAAATTCTAAAAAGTTAGAAAAGCCAACATATCATAATTTAAATGATGCAACAAACCAAAATAATAGATATAGATAGTACAAAAACAAAATTTCTTATCAAAATCTAGCGTCACCCTAATGTAAGCTTTTAAAATATATACACCACTTCAGATTTGCTTTCACTGGTAAACATTTCAAACACTATCTCTTGGCAAAGAAATCAAGATCAACGATATTTCAACTCAAACTCCAGTCGTTTCGTCTGGAACATAGAAATCAAATCTAACATCAACAGAACCCGACCTCTCTCCGGTGTCCTTGTACTCAACATTAGTTATTGTCCCAAATTCATCCATATCTTGATAATCTGGCTTAACTCGACGTACAGGCACTGTAACAGAGTAAATAGTTCCAAGATCTGTGTCAGCAGAGACACTCAGCTGAACTTTATCCTGTGATTCTATTTCCACAAAATCGGATAGAGCACGCACAACATTGCTGACAATTTTTCGCTTTGCCTCATCACTTACAGCACACCGATCAGAGAACAAAATCATTTTTAAACGTTGCTTAGCAATTCTAGCATTAGAGTTTTTTCTAGATATGGCCGATGGGAATATTATTTTCCAAGCCAAATTTAACCGCTCAAAGAAGTTCATTTTAACAGCGTCAAGGAGAAAATTTTCAGCTTCTTGACTAACTGAATTTGATGTAAATTTAGGACCTCCAAGGACAGCAGCAACTGGCTTGCAATACCCACGCATATTGCATCGTACAATTGTCAGGCAAGGGCATTTTGGGGTGAATTCAGAGATATTACATGCTCCACCCAAGAAACGATGAAAGTCTACCTATTAGACAGAGAATTCGAGAAATTATAGACAAGAAGGTAAATGTGATAGTCTGTATAATATAAAGGTAAATGTTAGCATTTAATAACATGCAACATTCAAGAAGCTGAGCCACGAGCATCTGAAATCTGAATAAAAACATCTCATCAATAGAAAATCAAAGAGCATTTTATAGAACCTTTCCCCACTAGACTGAAAAATCAGAAGACATAAATGCAATATCATATTCTCCATGAGCATAGTCGACACTCCGTCTAATTGGCAAAAATCTAAATATATTTATTCAGTTTTATAATGTCTAAGGCAAGTAACTTATCACAATATATTGCATATGATCAATCAAATGAAAGATTATGCAAAAATAGCTATGCCCACCTCTAATACTTTGGCCTGGAGGGCCATGAAATGGAGTTACAACTTAAGAATGCAGGCTATCATAGCAACTTAAAATAGCACATAATCTAACACTTTCCATGAATTTCCATCATATGAAAAACACCTATAGTATTATTTGGTTTAGAACCACAAGTATCTTCTATGGGAAGCAATCTTGTTCAGGCTCCTGATGAGTGTTTTCTATAATAATGGCTCAAAGTTATCAAAATTGATATCTTCCTCAACTTTGGAAACATGTTGAAAGATCATAAAAGAAGTTATCATAACACAAATCACAAGATCGTACCAAAAATATAAATATAAATTTTAAAATAAAAAAGACGATAATAATAAACTAATACATGTAAATATAATACTAAATTCAAGTAAAAAATTTGATATTTATTTGGAAAAAAAAATGATTTCGGTCCCTGTACTTTTTTTCAAATTTGTCTATGGTCTTTGTACTGTCGAATTGATGATTTTGGAACTCCAACTTTTGAAAATATATATTTTAGTCATTCTTCATACCTGAATTTGATAGAAGGGCTAAATTCACATACTATATGATTTAGTCATTCTTTATACCTAAATTTAATATTTAGTAACGGTTTTTTTGTTATGTGTGTGTGTGTGTGTGTGTGTGTGTGTATATATATATATATTATTTCTATTTGACAGTAGAAAACAAAACAAAAAAGAGTATAAAGAAGGGCAGAAAAGGCCTTCCAAAATTAGAAGATGTTGTACTTCAAATGAAAAACCCAAAAGAACACGGGTTTCAGAATAAAAAAAATGTTTCAGCAAAGTTACACTGCAACCTGTCAGAGGAGTTGAGAGTCTGAGTGAGAAGACAGTTATAGAGTGATTCAAAGAGGTTGAGTCGAGGGGATTTAGAAATTAAGAGGAAGATTTTATGGTTCACGAAGTTGAAGCCACCAGACAGGCTGCCAACATTTGAGTGAGAGAGAAGAGATAAAGTGGTTGGCCCGAGTGTCATAAAACCTGAAGAAACTCGTAGGCTTATCATAAATTGATAAGAACCTAGGGAGTACCATACCACAGAAGTTCATTGTTGTAAATGGAGAGCTTGAGGTCTTATAAACCCCACACTACAATCCCATAATTCCAAAAAGGGCCTCAAGTTCCATTCCATACAATTGGATCCTAAAATAAATGATTACAGATTTGAGGCTCAAGGATCTCACATGCTAGCGACGTGAACGAGCACATAAAAGACTCAATAATCAAGGATCCTAATCTTGAAAATGGTCAAAAGTCCTTACTTAACGAAAATCAGACATATAGCACCTAAGCCAGACACCATTTAGTTGAAATAGCACCAATACTAGGCCACTACAGTCAAGAAACAGATGCCGTTCTACACTTCTTCACCCCTTGTTTGTAACTGTAAACCAATAACTATAGAGCAAGGTTTTCACTTTCTGCCAGACATGCTACTAGACAATCCATCATATCATGCCATATGAATCTAAATGCATACATAATAAGAAAGTTTTTGTACTCAGAATCAGTTTCTTCAAGGATGTTATTGTATCTTAAAATGGTAACTATCTTTTTCCTTGTTTCTATTTTGAATGTTTCACAGTTGACACTCCACTGAGTACAGCATTATAAAAACCCTAATCGGATTGTGGAACCCTCAAAAGGTGTGGTTAGCCGTTAATTCGGAGTTAAATTCAGAATGAGTGGAATTGCAATGAGAATGCATGCATGCTGTGTGAGAGAGTGAGAAGCATTCGTGGGAAGAGAAGAGGGAAATGGAGAGATGAGAAAATGAAACCTTGGGAGAAGGGACCGAAGCAGTTCGAAGTGGAGGTGAGTGGGAGTGAGAGCGATAGAGAGGAAGAGTTGCTGAAACTCGCAGATCGCCGGAAATCGCCATTGTTGAGAGCTTCGGATAGTGTGCTCCGAAGGAACTTCGATGTCTCAGTCGCAATCTTCTATTTGGCTGTTATTATCATGCCTTCAACACGTCGTCGTTTTGTCGGCCTTTCTTTTCTATATATTCCCTTTCCTTTCGAGAAAATAATTTGAGCGTATGAACATGAGAATTATGAGGGAAAAAAATATAGAAATAAATAAAAAAAAAAATATCTTTGATTAAGAAGAAAAATTGTTGTAAAAGTATGTAAGTAATATCAAAATTTGTACTTTAATTTTAGTAGTATGTGTTACATGTAGGTTTAAAAATAAAATAAAAAACAAAAAACATTAAAGTTATATATATTTACATAAATAACAATATATTTAAATTTTACATTTAGGTTTTAACTTAACCTAAAAACTTATTGTTGCATTTATAGATTTAATCCCTGATAAATTATCCATTAAATTAAGTTAGATTTAAAAAAAATCAAAACAAATTTTAAAATCAGTTCATGAGAAATGGTATGTCTTTCACCGTCAAATTTTAAAATAATTTTTAAGATACACAAATAAGAATAAAATAAAATAATCTTTATAATTTTAAATTGATTTATACAATTTAAAAATAAAAAACACATGTAAAATAGTTCTAATTAATCAGGTCATCACCTGTTAAAGCATTTAACAACAAAACAAATCCAAGATCATTTTAGAAAAATAATTACATGGAATAACATAAAATTTGGTAAACTATAAACTACAACAATATATTCAAAATTTTATTCTATTAAAAATATCACAAATACATTTTTCTAACGCATTTTTGTATTTCATTTTCTAACCCCCACTCAAGGATATAAGCTGGTTGTACTGATATTTATATTTATATTTATCCAATCCAATTTGATTACATTTTTATATGTTAGGTTAGGTTATTGGAATTGACTAATTCTTTTAGTATAATTAATTAAAATTGAATTAAATAACATGTTCATAAATTAAAACATATGATGAATAGAATTAATTATATAATAATTGTATAATGAAAATATAATCAGTCTAGTAATTTATTTTAAAAACTTATTTTTATATATACTATTATATAAATATCAATTATAAACATGTTATAAAAATATATATTTTTTAATAAAAATTATAAAATATTGAAAATATGTTTTGATTACTTAATCGATAACTAACTGACCCAATTATAATTGGATATTTTGAAAATTTGATTAATAAATAGAACAAACTAAATTGAATCCAATCCTGCAGATTGAATCGAATATTTGAATCCACACCCCAAAAAATCGAAAAATTTGAATCCACACCCAGAAAAAATTGAAAATTTGAATAAACTCCATCTTATTGCACCCAGGTGAAGGTAAATTGAAAGGAAAAGAGAGAAAACCACAGCAAAATCAAAAGCATAAAAAAAAAAAAAACGAAAAGCATAGGAAGAGAAGACATTCTTCCTCTCAGCGAATGGGTGGAAGATGGAAAACTCTCTCTCTTTTCTATAACCGCTTAACCACTTCTTCTTCTTCTTCCAAATCCCACTTTCCCTCTTTCAACCGTCGTTTCTCTCTCGCCGCTGCACCTTCTGATATACCCGACCCGGATCCAATCGGGTTCGGAGTCCCGGACCTCGACCCCACCGTCAAAATCCCTGTCAAAGCCTATTTCCTCTCTACCAGGTAACCCCCAGTATCCTATCTTATTCAAGTTCATTAATATCTCTGGCTCCTTTTGTTATATTGTGTTTTGTGTAAATTGGTCGTTCTCGGAATCTCGTTTCTACGATGTTGCTTATGACTTTCGCTATTCTTCTATTTAAGAAGAGAAGACCGTCTTATGTGGGAGTTGAAATTTTTACTTTTTAGTTTTTAATCTTTCATTTGGACTTTAGAGTTTTATGATTATTATTATTGTTCTAATTCATTTTGATGTGTAAAATTGGCAGCTTGGATTTATTATTTGTATGTAAAATGTATAGCTTACTACTGTTTAGTGTTAGATTTAGAAGATGCGTGTGCTTTGTTGTGCGGAGACTGTAATTTTATTGCATTTATAGTATCAGATTGGAAATTTGGAGTGTTTCTTGAGGTTATTTTATTAAAGCGGTAACTTTAATTCCTGTATGTGATTTATAGATTGTCAGGTTTTCTGGGAATTTTGTGGTTTTATTTTGTTTTATAGTGATGCATTCTGTTTTTACTTGTTTTCTGGGTTTGAATTGAAACCCTTTCCTCTCACATGTCTTTTTGTTGTCCTGTTTTTGTTCTCTATGATTTGGCGGTCTCAGATTCATCATTTTGGCAGAATAAATTTGAAGGGCATTCAGGCTGATAATCATAGAAACATTGTTCCTCCCTCTTCCCGCTCATCTTCAAACTATGTTGTTCTCCGCTTCTGTGACTTTAATTTGGATTCTAACGTAAGGTTTATTATTATTATTTTTCTCAAGAACCTTTTGTGTTTCTATAGAAATTAGCATGTCACTAAATATTCTTAAATATCTATAATGAGTCTTTTATGTGTCCTTCAGTTTTTAGGATACTTGGTTTATTATACTACCTTGTTGATGCTCCATGCGGAGCACCATGTGCATGTCGAATGTACAGACACTAAATTGGGATTATGAGCCATACATTTTTAATAGACTTGTGTCACTGAAATTATGCGTACATTTGAAGGTTAAGGGTATGATACGAGAAATTCAAGCTACATATTCTGATTAACGTAACCTGAGCTGCGTCATCATTTAAATGACGATATTTTGTTTGCTGGTGATGAGTAAATTAATTCACTCTATCAGAAAGGAAAATAATACTCCCTAGTTAAAAGAAGATTCAAGTGTTCATAATGACAAAATCTGTGACTAAACTGTACAGTAACATGACTGATTCAACAAAGTCTGAACAACTTTAGGCATTTGTATCAGGGACCTGGATTTCACGTGAAAGCAAGCAACTGTCAATACATGGTTGTATATCAGTATGGGTCAGCTGTTTTGTTTAATATTGAGGACCATGAAGTGGAAGTTTACCTGGAATTAGTTAAGAGGCATGCATCAGGTTTACTTCGAGAGATGAGAAAAGATGGTAAGTTTCTTCAGAGAAACTAATTAATCATATAGTTGTTCTGAATCCTGTAGTGTATAAAACATGTTTTTTGTTCTGTATGATTAGATTATGCAATAAAGGAGAAGCCACTGTTAGTTGAGGATATGCAAGGAGGTCCAGACTACATAGTTCTGAAATCATTGGACACTGATGGTATCCGTATAATTGGAAGTGTACTGGGACAAAGCATAGCTCTGGATTATTTTGTCTCACAGGTTAATAATATATGCCAAATGTCATCTTATTTCTAGTACTTTGTTTATCATGTGTTACCCTGAAAAAGAAAAAATGACACCATTGAATATTTTAACATTTGTTCTCTCTTATTATCAGGTTGATGGTTTAGTTGAAGAGTTCACTGGCATAAACCGTGGAATGGAGAAAACTGGAACCTTCACTATGGATAAGAAGAAACTACTTCAGCTCGTTGGGAAGGCTAACTCAAATTTGGCCGATGTGATTCTTAAAGTTGGGCTCTTTGAGAGGTATTTTCGTTCTGTTTCACTACATAGGATCCCTCTAGCCAACCTCAATGGGAAAATGCTTTTGTTGTTAGTATCCCTAAATATTTCAAATGTTTGGTTTTTGGATTCATTTCATCCTAGTCTATAGTAAGAAGGTTGGTAAATGTTTTATTGTGGATTGATTAATCAGATCAGAAATTGCTTGGAGGGATGCCAAGTATGCCCAAATATACGAGTATCTTCGGGAGGAGTATGAAGTTGCACAACGCTTTGGAAATCTGGATTTCAAATTGAAATTCGTAGAGGTATTTCTGCCCTTCTGGCACCAGTGCGCATATAAAAGCGGAAGAGAAAAGAAGAGATAATAAAAGAAGAGAAGAAGATATTATTATGAAAATTATGCTTACATTATTCAATATTCGAGGAGAAGGGAAGGGAAGGTTGAGAACTTAGGTTATGAAGGAGTTGGTCGAGGAAGGTAGAGTTTAAGGCTCTAAGAGAGCGGTAAATTCTACTTCAGCAACTGACTCTTTTATAGGCCTAACATGTTCCTATTTGTCAATACAACTAGCACACTAACCACAAGTGGCCGACCAAAGACATAATTACATGGGACACCTTATGCTAAAAAACAAAAGATAATTACAACTGGCACGCTTTTACTTTTAGCGGCCGACGCTAAAAACAAAATTACATAATTACAATGATATTACTTTCAACTTTGTGGGGCCCTTCTTTTTTGAGTAGGGATTCTGCTGAGTCTTCTTCAGAAAGAGATAGCTTTAGCATCTTTTGGGCGATGGGCCTGATAAGCCCAACTTCTTACTGAGATGCCTTTTCTTAAAAGGATATTTCTTGTGGGTCTTCTTCTAATTTTCGCATAATATCATGAATTTTTCCTTGTATTTCTTCTTTGGTTGGATGAATTAATTGCTAGAATTGATTAAAATCAACCTCTTCATTTTCGTAGGGATCTTGTGTGTCTTGAATATTAATGATGGCTTCGTTTTCTTCTGAGCCTAAGGATGACAAGGCTTCGAGCATTTTTAGTTTTAATTGGGCCTTTTCAATTTTTGATGAGGGGAATTGGGATAAATCTATAATTGATTTTCCTTTATCTTTTATTGAGGACATTTCTTTTGGTATTGGGCCTTTGAGGCCCATTTTCTTCCAATTTTCGAATTTTTCTTCCACATACTGGACTTCAAATTTCTTCCACCAAAAAACCTTGGTTTTTAAGCAAAGGGTTTTTGGATAGGTTTTGTCTTTATGCTGATTGATTTCAGGAATGTGGGCCAAAAGCCAGCTTATTCCCATAGTTGAACAGAATTTTATTATTCGAAGATAGGGAGGGTATTGAGGAGTAAGGGTTTTGTATTTCTGATATATTTTCATGACTTTTTCGGGGATGATTGACTGGACATAACCTATTTGATTAAACCAGTCAATAAACCAATTGGGTAATGAGTTGGGTATTTCCTTTTTGAAACAGATGTACCAAGAATGCCTAGGGTTTGTGTCGAAGAGTATTTTGTTCCAGGCTTCTTGATAATCAAAATAATTGTAAGATGGGGGTCAAAGGGCCTCGAAAAGCTCTTATCGGTGAATGGATGCTGATTCCATTCGGGGTAGGAAATTATCTTGATAATTCGTAATTTAGAGTAGCTAATAATAGAGGGATCTCTATCATTAGGGATGAGAGTTATTTCAGTGGATCCTGTGTCTATTAAGATGAATTGATAAAATTTTTTGGTTTTCTTTAGATTTTTTCGATTTGGGAATCCAGCTCCATCCCGAGGGAGCTAGCCGTTTAAGTAGTCCATATATATCTTCTGTATTCCAATCTTCTTCGAGAGTGATTATCTTCTGACATCCTTCTTTTATATGGAATTCTTTCTTTGGGGTTATTTCTGAGAAAATATTCTGAGCTTTTTGTGGAGTTAATGGAGTAAATCGGTTTGGGAGAGTGGTGATAGAGGTAGGAAGTTTTCGGGTGGCTGTGGTTTTTGAATATGAGGGAGCAAAGTCATCTAGAGACAATGTAGATGACTTAGGATTTTCTGTTTTATTCTTGTCAGGGGTATTTGGGTTTTTAGAAGGGGTTGCCATGTGTATGACCCTGCAAAAATTCTCTAGTTAGAAAATCTGGGATAGAATTTTCTTTTCCTTTTATAAATTCGATATCAAATTCAAAACAGGATAATAAACTTTGTCATCTTGCAAATATTTGTTTTGAAACTATATTTTTTACATCTTTTTCTAAAATTTCTTTTACCGATTTCCAATCAATTCTTAATAAGAATTTTTTATTTATTAAATCATGTTGAAATTTTTGTATATTTAAAACTATGCTTAAAACTTCCTTTTTAATGGTGCTATAATTTCTTTGGGCTTCATTTCATATTCCTGAGTGGTATCTTACTATTTGTTCGGGAGTATTGGGTAAATGTTGTTTTAATATTCCTCCGTATCCCATTTCGGAGGCATCTGTTTTTATAATTATTTTTGCTTCCGGATTGGGTATTCCTAGACATGTAGAGTCTTGACTAAATTTTTTACTTCTATTACTATTTTAGTCATTTCTTGGGTCCAAACTTTAGGATTTTTTCTTAGTCTATTAAAAAGAGATTTACATAATATTTGAATATTAGGTATAAATTTTGATACATAATTTAAACACCCTAAAAATCTTTGTAATTGTAATTTATCTTTTATTTCATTAGGAAATTTTTCGGCAAATTCGATACTTCTTTTATCAATTCATCTTAATAGACACAGGATCCACTGAAATAACTCTCATCCCTAATGATAGAGATCTCTCTATTATTAGCTACTCTAAATTACGAATTATCAAGATAATTTCCTACCACGAATGGAATCAGCATCCATTCACCGATAAGAGCTTTTCGAGGCTCTTTGACCCCCCATCATACAATTATTTTGATTATCAAGAAGCTTGGAACAAAATACTCTTTGACACAAACCCTAGGCATTTTTGGTACATCTGTTTCAAAAAGGAAATACTCAACTCATTACCCAATTGGTTTATTGACTGGTTTAATCAAATAGGTCATGTCCAGTCAATCATCCCCGAAAAAGTCATGAAAATATATCAGAAATACAAAACCCTTACTCCTCAATACCCTCCCTATCTTCGAATAATAAAATTTTGTTCAACTATGGGAATAAGCTGGCTTTTGGCCCACATTCCTGAAATCCATCAGCATAAAGACAAAACCTATCCAAAAACCCTTTGCTTAAAAACCAAGGTTTTTTTATGGAAGAAATTTGAAGTCCAGTATGTGAAAGAAAAATTCGAAAATTGGAAGAAAATGGGCCTCAAAGGCCCAATACCAAAAGAAATGCCCTCAATAAAAGATAAAGGAAAATCAGTTATAGATTTATCCTAATTCCCCTCATCAAAAATTGAAAAGGCCCAATTAAAACTAAAAATGCTCTAAGCCTTGTCATCCTTAGGCTCAGAAGAAAACGAAGCCATCATTAATATTCAAGACGCACAAGATCCCTACGAAAATGAAGAGGTTGATTTTAATCAATTCTAGCAATTAATTCATCCAACCAAAGAAGAAATACAAGGAAAAATTCATGATATTATGCGAAAATTAGAAGAAGACCCGCAAGAAATATCCTTTTAAGAAAAGGCATCTCAGTAAGAAGTTGGGCTTATCTGGCCCATCGCCCAAAAGATGCTAAAGCTATCTCTTTCTGAAGAAGACTCAGCAGAATCCCTACTCACAAAAGAAGGGCCCGACAAAGTTGAAAGTAATATCATTGTAATTTTGTTTTTAGCGTCGGCCGCTAAAAGTAAAAGCGTGCCAGTTGTAATTATCTTTTGTTTTTTAGCATAAGGTGTCCCATGTAATTATGTCTTTGGTCGGTCACTTGTGGTTAGTGTGCCAGTTGTATTGACAAATAGGAACATGTTAGGCCTATAAAAAAGTCACTTGCTGAAGTAGAATTTACATCTCTCTTAGAGCCTTAAACTCTACCTTCCTTGACCAACTCCTTCATAGCCTAAGTTCTCAGCCTTCCCTTCTCCTCGAATATTAAATATTGTAAGCATAATTTTCATAATAATATCTTCTTCTATTATGCGCACTGGTGCCAGAAATGGTATCAGAGCCAAAGAAAACAAATTTGCGCTGATAATATCTGTTTGTTTGAAATAAGTATGCACTGTGGTTGCGGTTTAGGCCGATCCTCCATATCAGAAAAATTGCTTGCTTGATTAAAAGTATATCGGCTGGAAAACTGGTTGTTTTAGTCTTCCCGATTGGGTTGCTTGATGCGTAATAGGTCAATCCGGATCACATATGTCGTGTTCAAATCTCGATAATTTAGTGTGAATTAACAAAGCCACGTACTTTGTTCATCCAACTGATTATTCTTCCTGAATTGTTATTATTATATATATATATATATATATATATATATATATATATATATATATATATATATATATATATCATTGCCTATATATAAAGTATTAGTTGTTTATAAACAACGCATTTGAAAGTTGTTTGAATCTGTGAGCCCATTTGGACAAAATTACGTGTGCTAAAAATTATGCTCAAATTCTTAAGCTAGATGCACACCAATTTTTCCTGTATATTAAACTTAGTAGTTGAGGTTAGTCATTATCTTAAAATGATATTTTCGTATTAATACTTGTTCATCTATTTTGTTGCTTGCAGCACAATATTCATTTTCTTCAAAAAGTTCTGCAAAACAGGAAATCAGATTTCATGGAATGGTGCATTATTGGTTTATTGACAATTGAAAATATTCTATCCTTATGAGTTTCTTCGAGCTACAAATACAGTTTCTTAGTAAGTAGTAAGAAACTGAAGCTAGATTAGTTTATTGTAGCAACTATTCTTGCAATTTTTTAGCAATGAAAATTTTGCCCTTTGTATTTAGTAAATAAATCCATATATCCAGTCCAGACCTATTGAGCCAAATGATATTTATTGAAAACTTTGATATAATTTATAAACAAGAAAAAATGGACACAAGAGCATCTAGTTCCATCATTGTTTGAATCGAATTTTTGTTCATAATGTAATCTTATCTGATGGTAATAAGAATCTGAATTAGTTTTCATGTAAAATGGAAGTTCATGTTTCTCATTTATGTATTTCTCATTCCACTTATTACAGGCTGAGAATTTGAGTCAACATTTTAAAATTACGAAGTTGATTTTTTTTTTTAATTGTCAAATTAGTTTGTTGAAGATTTAAACTAGTTCGTCAAATGTAAAATTTGATTGTGTAAAAAGATAGATTTAGTGAATATTTTATGTATATTTTTTAAAAAATAAATTCTCTACAAGACAACCATCGTGACATTTGTCAAAAAAATTGTCTTTTTGATACCCTGTATTTCGAAGTATTACATAGATTGTTCTCATGTTTCGTTTGATAACAAGAGAAAGTCAAAGAAAAGAAAAAGTTAAAAAAATAAATAAATAAATTGTTTGATTAGAAAAAAATTAATAGAACTAATTTCAACAGCTACAACCAAGTAATGTTATGTGCTAAATAGCTCGTCCGCCAAAAAAACAAAATTAAGCTGTACTTTTTAAGCACCTCTTCATCAAACAGGCCTACGAATTCTTAATCCTTAAAATGTAACAAATAAATGGTTTCCGCTTGAGCCAGCAAAATCAATCACGCTCAATGCGACAATGAACAATACCTCCAATATTAATAGATAATAATATAGAGAAGAGGATCCTAACTTGTACACCTACTGTGTGTAAACATTTCCAACATTGCAGACTACCTATTCCATACCAATAATAGTAATGGCATAATAAAAACCAGCATTTGTCAACTCAGAATTCTGATACCCTGACAGCATCCCGAGGCGCATCATATGCATCCTTTGGCCTTGACTTCTTTACACCTGCGGTAAACCACAACTTATCAGACTTGTATCCTTCAACTGCCACACTTGTCACCTTCACCCACACCAGAACCTTTGTCTTCATTCCATCTATTGCTGAAAGCTTTCCCCTTGTAAGAACCCCTTTCACTCGGGTTGCATATCTCACCACAGAAGAGTCCTTGAAACCAACCTCACTTGCAGATGGCAAATACACAATCAGCTTACCCTTGGTTTCATCAAACTCATAACAGATTATGTTCTGTGGAAATAGCCCTGCTGGTAAATTGTAATCTCGGAGGAGTTCCGGTAGGCTTTTCTGGGGCTTGCCTATAAAAGGAGGGGAATCAAAGATTATTAGTATTATTAATGAGTGGTTATACATTGGTCACCATACCTAATTAGAAGAGATTGATGCCGTACCAGATAGGTACAATAACAGTTTTTATTTTGTTGGGGTCAGGGTTGACTATCCAACAATGAAAACAGAAATATGAAAATGTCTTGATTTTTTATAAATATGATTATATAGTGATGAAAACTTGCCACATTTATGTACCTTACTGTATTGTAGAATAAAATAGGTTCATAACTAAATCTCAATGAATGTTACATCATGAAATGTAAAATAAGAAGAAAACATCAGGGTTAGAGGAGACAGGGGAACTAAAAGGTGCATGACAGACAGGAAATTTCAACTCAAGGGTGAGATATTCTGACAAGTATTATGACCACAGGAAACGAGAGAAAGTATGGTAGTATAGGGGAGAGACATGTGAAAAAGACACCACATAGAAAACTTATAATGGTATGTTAGCATTTGCAAAAATGTTATGAACATAATGATTAGATTGCAATTGTGCAAACCGGTTGATTCAATGTTTTGGTGCATATTCCTCCTAGTTTATCATAGTGCTATGTAACTCGTTACTAAAACATTGAAGAGAATTTATATGTTGGAAAATGCGAGATTTAAAAATAGGCAGTGCCATGAACAGTAAGGGTGCAAACGCACTAATACCTTTTAGTTTGTTGAAGATCCACTTTGCCTTTTCTTCAACCGTATTTGAGAAGGTCTGCAAAAGTTCACCAATTTTTCTTCAGCAAACACAAGGCAGTGCCATGAAACTCCACAGTAAATCTCAAAAGCTAAATAAAAACAGGATTGGCCACTGGAATTGTGTAATACACTCAACATTGTACATAAAATTTTATTCAGCTTTATCTGTTAACACAAGCAATTTGCAAAATCATACTGATCTAAAGCTAATTCCCAACTGATGATTCAAAATTTGTATAATATAGTTCAAGTTTATCTCATATAGTAATGCATCTTTTTGTTTGATACACAATTAAAGGATTACCCTTTCTCATCACACAAGTAATACATGCACAATTACCTAAACGACAAAAAGCTAACTAAAAGAAAACCATCCCAGTGTGGTAAGTCATGGTCCAGAATGTTCTATTTGATATACAATATGTAAACAACTGTTCCTCCGAGAAAAGCAAACCATGTCATTTCACAATCTGAAACTGGAAGAGAATCATGATGAAAAAACTAAAAAGCTTTAAGAGGCATTAGATCCTTCATTCCCCTTCGCTCCTCCACCTCCAACATATATACCCTTTCACACAGTTCCCCTTCATCTCCTTCAAACAAAGCACACAGGAAATAGGTTCAACAGAAATTCCACATTCCAAGACCCCAGAAAATTTCTCAAGATGCAGTCAAAAGGAAAATCATGCCCCATTATACACAAACAATCAAAGGTACAATCTTTAATCAAGAATCAAGCACTGTCTTGCCCTTTACATCATGGGAAACTATCTCCCTGGAATTAAAAAAAAAAAATCATTTGACAAAGCTTCTATTTCAGATCTCTCAAACTCCAAAAAGTAACAATGGTTAGAACCAAGCGACATTGAAGAAGAAGAAAAAATTGCAATGCAAGACAAACCCAAAAGAATAGACTCACAGAGATGTCTTCAGAGATGTTAGAGAACTCCTCCTTGGCCTTCTTGGTGATCCATGAATTCCCCAACCCCACCTTCAAGCTGCTAACTTTAGTGAGAGCCCTCTCCATTTTGGGATTTTTAACTGTTTAAGCCTCTCTTCCTTTCCCTTCCCTTCCCTTTTTGGAGTGCAATGCAGCCAAGGAGACAAGAATCTGTGGCTAGTTGGAGTTGGATGGAAAACACAACCCAACCCAACAGGCCGACACAACACAAAACAGAACCAAAGGAAGGAAAAGGGAAAGGGAATGAGTCTGTGAATGTGGGTATCTGAAGTGATGATAAAGGTTTCACCTTTGCATCAGATGTCAAGCCGAGCTGGCAAAGGGTAACAGGACAGAGTAATCTGATGCACACACTGTTCAAAGCGGCGTTACGCTCCCACCTTTCCCTTTCAAGTGCAAATTGTGTTTATTTATTTATTTATTTATTTAAGAATAAAAACCATGTAAATATTGTTTGTGTTAACTAAAATATTAACACTGAATTATGTTTTTAATTCTTAAAAATTGAATAATTTAGTTTTAGTCTTTTAATTTTTAAAAATTCATTTGGTTTTTAAAATTCAAAAATATAATTTTAGTTTCTTAAACTTATATTTAAAAACTGAAATTAATAAGAAAAAAAAAGTTAACTCTTCAAATTTAATATTTGAGAACTTAAAACACTTTTTTCGTATCTTTTAATTTTAAGAAACCAAAACTAAACACGAATTTTTTTCTCCAAAATGTTAGAAATTAAAAAAACAGTTATAGCAAATTTTAATATTACATTTTTTGACTTGATTATATTTTCAGCATTTAAAAATTTGGAATGATTTATTTTTAGTTTTTCAAAGTAAAAAAATAAAAAATAAAATTAGGGTTTAGGATAATTGACCTTGCCAGCATTAGTTACATGTACATATCCAATAGACATTTCAATTAAAAAAAACAATTAATTTCAAACTTCAAGGACTAACAGCATTTTAATTCATAATTTTTTGCTAAATTTTACTATAAAATAAACTTAAAATTACGATAAAAAAATAATTTTTATATATTTTTCAAGTAGAATTTATTTATGAATCTTTTTCACATTAAAATTTTTATTCTCATCAAACAAGGTTTTCACAATACAAAAATCATTAAAATTATATTATAAATTTATGCATCGCTATTAATTTTCTCTGTTATATTCTCCTCCTTGAGAATGGAGGATGAAAGACATGTTTTTTAATACATAGTTATTATTAGATAAATTAGAAACTAAATTTGTCTTGAAGACCTTTATTGTGTGATACTTTTAAGTCTAGAATTTTGGTGACAGAAGATCTTATTTTCCAATATCACTTTTCACCCTTGTGTTGATATGGGGACCATTGTGAATGTTATGATAATATCTGAATTGTAAATAATAAGTAAGCTAATTTGTGATGCCAACACACATGGTGGGGTCAGAAATTTGTATTTTCCAGCTCAAAAGCCTAATGAAACCGACCATACCACTATTATCATAAACCAATTATTGAGAAGAAAATAGTGATAGACAACCACACATCCCAACATCATTTTCTAGTTTTCTCCATCTGTTTCATTACTTGTTAGGGTTTTGTCAAGCATTTTGGATAACTCATCTAAAGAATCTCTCTTTTTCTCTTTTTCAAAAGGTGAATATAGAACATTATTCTCAATTACTTTGAAAATAAATCAAAAACATAAAATATTGATCAGCATGTTCTGATCCTAAGTGGAGGGCCTTAAGTAAAGATGATTAGGTTACTCAAATTTAGACACAAATCAAATTTTAGAATTAATAAATTGTTATATATTAATATAAGTATTAATTAATAATGATAGTTTTAATATTTTATTGTGTCTTTAATTAGTCTGATAATTGAATTTATCTTTAGAACTTATTCTAAGTTATGAGTTGAGAATTATAATTTATTTATGAACAAGTTTCAAATATATCCATAAAAATATTGAAATTTTGACAATACATTCTGGATAAACCCTACGTAATTTGTGAGGAAATATAAATATCAAAAATAGAGTCTCTTTTTGTTTTGATGCCACATACCCACATTCGTGACATCAAATATTTATCCTAATGTATGATCTAATTTTCGAACTCAAATAACAAAGGAACGTGATTTAAATACGTTAACTCGTATAAGATTTTGTATAATAAAAAAAACTATCATAACTTTATTTGTAATGTTTAAAATTGTGACAATTACGTATTTGTCACAAAATCTGCTACTTTTAATTTTGTGACCAATTTTTATTCTTACTAAAATTTATTTTTTGAATAATAAAAAAGTTTATCGTTAAAATGACGATTAAACTTATAGTTACGGGCCAGCCCCAAATTTAATAGAAAAAAATTGAATTATTGAAAGTAAAAGTAAATTTAAGTTTTTCTTACTTTAAAAGGTTAGGAATAGAGATGAATAATATAATTCACACCCGAACCTTAATTTTATTTACTTTTTATATTTAAATTTAAATTTTAATATTTTATTTTCTTTTTTATATTATATATAATGTTATTTTTATATATTTCATTTTTTTATCTGAAACTTTTTAGTCTTTTTCAAATTCTTTAATCAATTACTTCATTATTATGTTATATTTTTTTCTTATCTTTATCTTTGATAAATACTTTTTTCTTTATCTATTTTTATATATATTAACTAATATTATTATTCCTATTTGTAATATATCAAAAAATTTTAATAAAATAATTATATATTAAATAATTAAAAAAATACAATTAAAATTTTTATCATTTTTAACTAATTGAATAAGAATTAACTCATTAAATATTTTATCATAAACTATATATTTTATATTTATAAATATTTTAAAATGACAACTTAAAAAATGATTAACTTTTATATATATATATATATATATATATATATAATTTAATATTTAAATACAGTGTTATAATAATAATATAAATATTTTATATCTATATAAAAAATTATTAAACATTTATTTTAGATTAATATTTTAATATAAATATAATAAATTAAAGTATATATTTAATTAATAATAATTATTATAAATTATAAATATTTGTTTTTTTATAAAAAATATATTAAAAGTATTAAAATTAATTTATTATAAGTACAATTGTTTTTATTAAATAATATAAAATAGGGATGGGTCGGAAAAATTCAAAATCCAACGAGATTAATGATGAGGATTTAATTATTTATCCGACAAGGATTGAAGGTAGGGGTGGGGTTGGCGAGACAAAACTTTATCCTAGTAAGATTCTTTATACCATTTTTTTTCTATAAAAAAATTAACTCCCTTTGTAAGTTGATTTTGAAACTCAAATATAAACAACAAATATGACAAAATCATTTTTCAAATAAAGACAAAATGAAATAATTTTTTATTCCCTTATTTTAAAACAAAGGAAATTATACCTCAAACATTTTTTTCTTAGTGAACTTATTCAATTTGATTAAATAATCCTCTCTATCATTTGTATCATATGGCAAATCAAATCTTTTAGAATTTATATAAATATTATTTTCAAGATAACCATACAAATAAGATGTAGCAATATCTATTAGATGTAAATTTAATCATTTATATGAAAATAATTTAATTGAATATTTAAAAGTATTTGTATCAGTTATACATGTAATTCAAAAGTCAATATTAGGTAAAAAAATTTAAAAAATAAATTATTTTTTATCTCACAACTTCACCATTTTTATTTTTCTTTTATACAAAGAATTATCTATATCCAATTTATATAACACCTTTAAATGTATAGACTACAAGTCCAAAATTCTCTCACTTATATAAAGAGTGTAATTTTCTTTAATTCCATTCTTCCATTTTTTTAATAATTTATTTGTTGATAATCCTGGACTTTGATTTTTTTATCCTTAATATCATTTATAACATTTAGCATTGTACTATACAAAAAATAATATCATCATTGTTGATTTCTCTTCGGTTCTGTATTATTTCACTCATGACATAATTAATTTAAATCTTTCCATTTTGTAATAATTTTGAGGTACTTGAGTTTTTCTAAAACTAATATATCTTAATTATCTCAAATGAATCTTTTGAGGTTTTATCTTCAATTGGTCCATCTTACAATTTTTTACTTATGTAAGGATTCTTAAGCTTTGTTTATTCTAACAATTTACTTTTGAAGCTAATTTATGAGCAAAAATTTGGACAGATGCACCCTTGTTTGGATATGTATATTTGCAATAATTTATGTGTGTGTTCCATGTAGTGAGAAATATTCTTATTTGAGCATAAATACTTGGATTTACAAAGAAAATTGGGTAAATTATCCAAAAAAATCTCATGCACAAAGTGACCCACATGAGTGAAAATGCAGAGATTCCATCTGCATGAATAAAGTGTCAGCTACCACGTTTAGTATATTGTGCCTCAACCTAGTGATTCAGAACTACCCATGACCAGCCTTTTGCAAAGATGTTCGATCTTTCATCTCCTATTTATTGGTCATGTGGAGAGGACCATTGGAGATGTAACTATTCTAACATTCACCTCTTTCATTAACCTTTATAAATGTCACTTCGCTAACGGCACTACAATACACGTTTTATCTTCCTTTATCGTAACATTCATTCTCAACAATGCCAATACATTTTTTTGAAGCTCAAAAGTGATCGAAAGTGAGAAGACACATGTTTCTTCCAGCTGTGTATACCCTTTCCACTTCAAATCTTGTGAGTTGTTTTTCTTTAAACCAATGATTCCATTATTGATTGTTATGGTTGAGTGTGTTTGTTGGTGTTGTTGAATTATATAATTGTAATTAGGTTACTTCTATTATTGTTCCAAATGTTACTACCTATATTTAATTATATCATAATTATCATTTATACATAATTTAATCGTTCCAACAATAAAAGTAATTTGGTCATTACACTATAAAAATTATTATTCAATTTTTTCATATTCAATCACATCAGCTACAATAATACCACTCAAGTTTTTTCAAATTTACTATTTTTCCTTCAATCCAAATAATCTCCCAATTCAATCTAAATTACCTCAAATCCTCACCCTAATCCAAAAATAATGTTAGTATTATATCTATTACACATTACATTTATACTATATTTGAAATTCTTATTAGAATATTGAACTAAAACATCAATTATCATCAATTATCAATTATAATTAGAGTATCCACTGTTAGTACGTATTACTAAAGAAAAATGACTTTTAAGATTCGTGCAATATAGATGTTGTAATATTAATAAAATATTTTTTTACAACCATTATTTTATCAATAACTATTTATTACCTAATTCAATTAGAATAAAATATTATCGGGAAATAACATCAAACTATCATTCATAATAATTTTTCTGATATAAATTATAATCATAATAAATGCATCCCATATAAATAATATAAAAATTGAGATATCAAATTGTAAGAAGACAATAAAGAAATAAAATTTAAATGCATTAATTATATATATTTAAAGAAAAATAGACAGAAAAATCAAAATAATTAAAAGATTATTAATATATTTAATTATCATAATTAAATTTGATTACAAATATATTTAAAATATTTTGAATTCAAATATTTCAAAATAATATTAAAGCATTAAGAATGTAATATTATTTTAAAGATAACTGTATAAAATATTATCTTTTAATGAGAGTAAATATTCCTTACTGCTCGTATCACCTATAAGGTGATCAATTATTATTTGTTCTCTAATAAAATACAAGTAACAGTTATATAACAATAACTATAATCTTCATTCTCTAAACATAATTCATGTCACCATAATTAGAATCACCATCTTATTATAAATATATTTTATCTTTTATTTTTAAGTGATTATTTATGCATATTTCAATTAGTGTAATGGTGGTGATAATGATGATTTATTTAATTTTTTACTCTCTTTTTTAACATATTTCATTTTTAGTGATTTATTCACAATTTTTTTTACGTGTCTACGATGATGATAAATATATATAAATTTTATTATTTTTTACAATTACATTTGAGAATCAAACTTAAAAATAAAATATTTTTCATATTCATTTTTAGGAATGAAATATTATAATACACAATTTTTTTTGCATTTACTTATAAGAATAAAACAAAACAAATTGTAAGAGTCTCATGAGTTTTTATAAAAACTCATAATTTTATTCATAAAATTTAATTAATAAAATATTTGACCTGATAATATATATCGCATAAAATTAAAATATTAAATTAATAGTAATCATATTATGTATTATAAAAAGATATAACGAATAATATAAAAAAAATATAATGATAGTTACTCAACTCAATATGTTACATCATAATATTAATAATGTATTATGAATAAAATCTCAAGACACATATAATTTAAAAAAAATAGGATCTCAAGACAGAAATGTTCCCTAATTATTATTTATAAACGATAAATTAAGGATTACAAATATAAATAATAATAATAATAATAATTAATAAAGTCAATGAAACTGAGAAACCAAAATTATTCATGTAATTATTTATTTAATTTTATTACTCATTATGAATAATAAATAATTTAATATAACATAATGTAATAAATAACTTCATAGTCGAATTTAATATAATCTAATGTGTTATGTTCTTTGTCAAGTGACATTAACATAAATTATTAAAATATTAACAAAGAGACATAAATTGTATAAATATATACAGTAAAGGAAACTTATTTTCTATAATTATTATTATAAAAGTGATTAATTAAATGCATTAATTTATAAAATAAAAGATAAAAAGGTTGTACCGATACTAAAATAAACTAAAATGGGAATTTTACACCACTATGTGATAAAATAGATATTTATAAAATGAAACCAAAAAAAAAAAAAAAAGAGTTATGTGTCTCTTCTAAACTCAAATATAAGAAGGTAGATCTAATTAACTTTGCTCATAAATATTTTGGCCTTCTCATAAACTTTTGTCAAAAACTTTGTGAATCCTAACATTTTGCTCCTTCCAATATACCCTTTTCTCAGACCATTTGTTTTGAAAAGCCACAGGATCCTTGATCACCAAGCTATCAGCACCATATTTCTCCAACAAGCTGCTTTCATTTACCCTAGTCTTGTACTCCATGTATTCCAACCCTAAATTTTTAGGTGGTTTCTCATCGCAAGTTCTTGAAGCCCAACCAAGTCCAAGTGGCACTTGAACCAACACTGACCCTGCCTTCAGGAACAAAAAATTTGTTAACCCTGCTCCATCCCAACAACACATCACTGGAATGAACAACCCCATAAACCTGGGCCATTGGAGTGCTTGCTGATGGCTCCCACACATGCACATGAAACCCTAATTCTTCCGCCACCTTGATCACATCTTCTTCGTTTAAAATCACACGGCTCACGTCCCCCTTTCTACTTATCAATGTCAAACGTGGCTTCCCATTTTCACTTGGGTACATAAACGGGGCACCAATTTTGGTGTATACTTTCCCTAGAAATGCACGGAAATCAAAAAGGGTTTTAGGGTTTGGTAACAGTTTTGGGTTTATGATCATGTGTCCATGCTTCATCAACCCTACGGTCGCTGAAGGGAAGCAATGGACGGTTGATAAGTTGTTTGCGTTGATGATCGAATGGTGGGGACTAAACGCAGACAATATTTCAGCGTACTTTTGTAACCACCAAATAGTACCCTCCGTGATCACAAGTGTCACATCTTGATTAGGGTAGAGTGAATTGATGGTGATGAAAAGTGGGATGAAGTTCTCGTTTATATCATGGTAATAGTTTCCGTTGTACCCGGCCGCACTGAATACAAGGGCTGGGGTATGGTGTGTGACACCACATGATACTTTCGGTGGGGCTACGGAGAGATTGAGTTCTTTCACAATTTCACAAATGACATTGCTGTTTTGTCACTTTTAAGAGGGTAAGGTCGGATTTTTAGAGGAACATGGGATTTATTCTCTGTATGAGGACCCATGGCATAGATTGTTGAAGATGCTGGATCAAAAAGTGTTGAGCCGTTGATTTTGCAAAGATCGTGTTCATTATGAGAGTAGTCACACGTGATTACCGCATTGTCATTTACGTTCCAATCTGGGGCCCACTGAGAAATTGATAGCTTCTTCCTCATTTTCACTTTCCATATACCTGTGTAAAAAAAAGATGCAAATTTAATGTGAAAATAATTTTTATTTACTTTGTGAGTTTAATATTACAAACACTACCATCCTTTATAAATTTATTTATATATATATATATATATATATATATATATATATATATATATATATAAAAGATTCAATTTTTACTATTTATTATCAATAAATTAAAATATTAATTTATAAATCAATATATATATATATATATATATATATATATATCAATAAATATATGACTTTAGAAATTTATTCTTAATATCGCTATTTATTTTATATCTAAGGTAATTTATTATAATTTATTTTAAATTAAATAATGAAAATAAAAAATAAATTTCTAATTCTTTTTTAGGAGTCAAAATCTTCTTATATTTATTTATATATTAATATAATTTTATATTTATTAATGTTAAATAATATATAGCAGTAATAGCGAATATTAAATTATCATATCGAATTATTAATATCCAATAAATGTATACTATGTTTATTATTAATGTTAATTTATGAATATAATAGAAATATTCAATATATAAATTAAATATTAAAAAATTATGAATATATAAATATATATATATATAATAGTAATAATGATAATAAATATACATTGTAATAGTAAACCAATTTAACAAATATATTTAATATAAAATAAATAATAATAATAATAATAAAAGTGAATTAGATGTAAGTATTTTATTTATACAATAATTCATGCATTATGTAACTGAATTATAAACCTTAAAACAATCTAATTGTCTTAGTTTAAAATATTTTATTATTATTTTACTAAATTAATATTAAAAATCATAATTAAAAAATACTATAAATATCAGAATTCTAAAATTTATAATCATTCTTGTAGAGATAGTAAAACTAAAAAAAATTATATTTACAAAGACCTAAAACTAAATTATCACACCGCAAATATAATATGAAACTTAATAATAATGTCGTTACTATTATGATTGAGAAAAGTATAATACATTGCATAATAGTTGCATAACATCGCATTCCCTTAATTACAGAAAAGCAAAGTAGGTATTTAAATATATTTTTATCTTACATCAGTTAAAGTATTTAATTAACATCTTTTATTGCTTCTATTCATCTAAATTCAATTGAATTGGAAAGTGGTAACATTGGGTGTGAAATATTAATTGAGTTTATAATTACTTTTTCTAATATAATAACTAGTAATATTTATTATTATTATTATTATTATTATTATTATGTTAATGAAAATAGTTATCAATAAATATATATTAAAAAAATAAATATAATAAGATAAAAACATAGGTTCGTGGTAAATATTACTTGGGAAGAGGTTATATAAAATACAAATCAATTAATATGATATTATATTATATTTAAACTAAAATTAAAATTTTATAACTTTTTTTTAAGTTATTCAATTTTTTTTATTGAATATAAAATTTCAATTAGCAGTTAAATTTTAATCTTTAGATTTGTTAAAATAAATAAAATTCCTATGAATAATTTTGCTTAATTATAATTATTAATTAAAAAAAAGGTACAAACTAATATTGATTAGTAAGAGTCTTGATACATAAATTTAGCAGAAAAAACAGAGTTAAAAAACACATTATAATAAAAAATGAAAAATTAATGTAAGTAAGATTTGTGGATTACCTCCTATGACTGTAAACCGGAGAAAGAAGATGAACAGCGTTACTCCAAAACATAAAGCCAACATTGACAATCTTGTCGTCTTCGATTCCACCATTGATTTTGCTAATCACAAAGCAACGTTTAGCAGAATTTTATCACCAGTTCATTCACATGATGAACAAAACAAAATAAGAAATTAAAATCGCAATTGTTGAAAATAAATTGATTATCTAAATAGAAAATGGCCCTTAGTTAGTGATACTTACAATGTATCTTTGGCTTCTCCTTTTTTCCCTCTCTTTGCCTCATAGTCATGTTGGTGTAAAAGCAGTAATTGGAGCTTAATTTCACGGGTGATTATGGAGCCATGTTTATATATATAAAGTATATAATTGTCACAATTCAAACAACTAAATTTTATTTAAAATGTTGAATGAATTAAATAAGAAATGAAATTTGTTTTGATTACACATATTTGAAGTCAAAGAATGAAGTTTACGTGGACTAAGGTAAAAGAGAAAATATAAAGAAAACCAGGTTTTAATTCTTGAATTTGTAAGACGAATAGTTTTTGAATTTTTAAAATATTAAATAAATTTTAAAATAAAAATTGTTAATTACGACAGTTAGTTTTTTAGGAGAACTGTAATAATAATGAGTTGTTTTCAGTTATATTTTTCTAATGAAGAAATTATTATGAGAATTCTTGAAACAGTCAAACATAAAAATAAAATAAAAATTTACTCTCCTCTAACGTAGTTTCCAGCACAATTTTTTATTTAATCATTATATGTAATTGGGAGGTTCTGAATTGTGGCATTGGGCAGTTAATTTGCTAGTCAACATCTCATTAATTTCATTTTATAATTCCATGTGGAAGTTTAGAAGTTTTCCTGGTTGTCAACATTTCGTCAATGATTTTTTAAATTATATTAATAATATAATTATTATTTTTAAACTATAAAATTAATAATGTTTGGTAAATAAACTATAGTCAACGTCACATTAATGAATTTTCAACAGTATATATTGTTGAATGATTCCATGATGAAGTTACAAATGAATGAACGAATTGAGATTATGCTAAATGGACATTTTTTTAAATGCAACAAAGAAAACTTATCTTCTTTCATCACTATTATTATTGAAGAGATTATTGAAGTACATTAAAAAAATGCGATTAAATTGATATTTATGGAAGAAAGAAACAAAAACAATCAATATATATATATTATATGTCTGTTCTAAACTCAAAATGAAAAGTAGGTAGATCTAATGAACTTTGCTCATAAATATTTTGGCCTTCTCATAAGCTTTTATCAAACAAGATCTAAATCTGATTATATCGATCCTAACATTTTGCTCCGTCCAATATACCCTTTTATGGGAGTATTTGCTTTGAAAAGCCGCAGGGTCCTTGATCACCAAGCTATCAGCACCATATTTCTCTAACAAGCTGCTTTCGTTCAACTCAATCTTGTACTCCACGTATTCCAACCCTAACTTGATGGGTGGTTTCTTGTAGTAAGTTTCTGAAACCCATTCAAGGTGAAAGGGCACCACTTGAACCAACACTGATCCTGGCTTCATCAACAGAAAATTTGTTAACCCTGCACCATGCACCCCCAACAACACCTCACTGGAATGAACCACCCCATAAACTTGTGCCATAGGAGTGCTTGTTGATGGCTCAAACACATGCACGTTAAACCCTATTTCCTCACCCACCTTTATCACATCTTCTTCGTTCAAAATCACACGGCTCACACCGCGCCTTCTACTTATCAATGTCAAACGTGGCTTCCCATTTTCATTTGGCTGCATAAATGGGGTACCAATTTCGGTGTATACTTTGCCTAGGAATGCACGGAAATCAAAAAGGGTTTTAGGGTTTGGTAACAATTTCGGGTCTATCATCATGGGTCCATGCTTCATCAACCCTATGGTCGCCGATGGGAAACAATGGACGGTTGATAGGTTGTTTGCGTTGATGATCGAATGGAGGGGACTCAACGCCGATAATAACTCACCGTACTTCTGAAACCACCAACTCTTACCTTCTGTGACCAAAAGTGTTACATCTTGATTAGGGAATAGCGAAGTGATGGTGATGAAGAGTGGGATGAAATTCTCGTTTATTTCATGATAATAGTTTCCGGTGTAACCCGCCGCACTGAATACAAGTGCAGGGGTACGGTGTGTGACACCACATGATAGCTTCGTTGGGGCTTCGGTGAGATTGAGTTCTTTCACAGCAGCCATTGCTAGTTTGTCACTTTTAAGTGGGTAAGGTCGGATTTTCACAGGGACATGGGATTGATTCTGTGTGTGAGGACCCATGGCATATATTGTCGAGGATGCCGGATCAAAAAGTGTTGACCCGTTGACTCTGCACAGATCGTATTCATCATGCGAGTAGTCACAGCTGATCACAGCACTGCCATTTACATTCCAATGTCGGCCCAATTGAGAATTTGATAGCCTGTTCATCAATTTTACTTTCCATATATTTGTATCTGTATAATAATAATAATAAAAAAAACGGAATATTTAGTGTCAAATATTTTTTATTATTTACCTTACGAGCATGAAATATATTACAAAACCATTATTTGATTTTTTAACATTTTATAAATAATAATTAACTTGACTTTATTTAATGTTTCTAAATCTTTTTTTATAATGTGGTTATTAGTCCGGAATTTATTTAATATCAATAGATATATGAATACAATTTATTAAATATATATTAATAATTTATCAAATAGATATTAATAGATATAAATACTATTTAATAAATTAATAAATATACATTGGTACATTTTAACCTACTTTTATATATATATTAGTATTTTCTAATATGCTCACATATTAAAACGATTTATATAGAGAAAAATTATATTTGTTTTGAAGAAGGTTAAATGAAAATAAATTTTATGAATATATTTTTGTTTGTAAAACAGTGAAAAATACAACATCAATTATAGTTTTACTTCGGTAATTAAAATATGAAAAAATAATATAATTTTATATGAAAAATAATTAAATGAGGGAAACAATTTTTTGTAACCAACATATATAATATTAAATAAGTTATTGTTAATTTGACTTTATAAATTCATTATTTATTTAACAATAAATAAATGTATCTTATTAAATTTTATGTATTATATGCCTTACGCTTAAATACATGTTAAGTTCATGTAAGTATAGTTTTATTCTACATTAGTCTTTTGCAAAATAATTTCCTTTTATATTTATATATTTATAATTTGTAGTTTTTTTCTTTTTGAGTCCTTATAGAACTATAATTAGTTTAGTTTGAAAAATGTTAATTAAAATGATTAAGGTAATATTTTAAAAAAATTAAATAATTATATATTCTTTTCAACTAAATAATGAATTTATTATTTTCTAATAAGATAATTACATATTATTATTTAGGTGTAAAATGATAATACATATTATTTATAATCTAGAACAAAATAAAGAGATATCTACTTATCTAAGTAGTATTTGTGAAAATGTAATGACTATTTAACACAATAATATTAAAATTATAATTCATAATATAAAATAGAAATAAATAATAAAAGTGAACTAGCATCTATTTTATTTATATGAATGTAATTGAAAATACGCCTTAAAATAATATAATTATATTAGTTGATATACGCATCATAACGTATACCATTAATCAGTGTAATATTCAGCACAGAGGCATTACATAAATCTAACAGAAAACCAACTCCAAAAACACAAATCGAATGTAATGCAGGTCTTGTGGATTACCTCGTATGACAGTAAACTGGAGAAAGAAGATGAACAGCATCACTCCAAAACATAAAGCCAACATTGACAATCTTGTGGTCACCATTGATTTTGCTAATTACAAAGCAACATTTAGCAGAAATTTATGTATAACGAGTTCATTGATGTGGATGAACAAAACAAAAATAATTTGATTATCTAAACAGAAGGTGGTCCTTAGTTGGTGATTCTTACACTGTATCTTTGGCTTCTCCACTTTTCCCTCTGTACGTCTCTTTGTCATGATGGTCTAACTCTTGAGAAAAGGAGCAATTGGAGCTTATTTTGATGGCGGATTATGGAGGCATGTGTTATTTATAGGTATATATATATATATATATATATATATATATATATATATATATATATATATATATATATATATATATATATATATATATATATATCACTGCAAAATAACTGTCGCAATCCAAACACAAAACACACACAAAAAAAATGTTGAATGGTTTCAGTGAATGAAATTTGTTTTAATATTTCAAGTCAAAGAGTGAAGTCTTATGTTGCCTAAGGTAAAAGAGAAAATATAAAGAAAACCCAGTTTAGTTTTTGAATTTGTAAGAAGTGTTGTGATAGTAGATTTTGAATTGTTAAAATTCAAGTTTGAAAGTTACGGGACTTTAAATTTAGAAACAGTAATAACAAGGAGTTGTATTTATAAAAAATAATTTAACTTCAGATAACTCTCTTAAATTTTTCTAGTTCTACAAATTATTTGAGAATTCTTGAAACGTTCAAAGATTAAACCAAACCAAAGATATTTGATAGTTGTTTTGGTAGTCAACATCTCATTAATTTAATTTTATATTTACATGTGGTTGAACGGTTATGATACTTCTCATCATCGTTACTTTTTCTCAAAGTCAAAATTTCATTTATGAATTTCAATCTTTCTTTTTTTTACTTATATTAAAGCCCAAACATATTTTATAAATGATATAATTATTATTTTAAAACTTTAAAATTAATATTATTTGATAAAATAAACTATTCAACATTACATTAATGAATTTTAAACATTTTCATTATTATTAGGTACACTTTAATAAATATATATATATATATATATATATATATATATATATATATTATGCATCTCAAAGAATTTAATTAGAGTATGTATATTCTTTTACTTTTATTAAGGAAGTTATTAATAAATCAACAAAATATAATAGTCATATAACAAAAATAAATAAATATATTATAAATAAACCAATTGAATAGAATTATATCAAACATTTAACACTTATATCAAATTTATTTACTTGTAAATAGGCTAAACAACATTTTTTTTACAATTGTTATTTTGGATTTATTTCTGACATAAGAAATATAAATTTACATTGAACGTTATGATTGACGTTAATTAACATCAATTATATTGAAAATCAATATTAATTTATGTAAGAAAAAACAAGAAATAAACTTAAATGAGTTTCAAAAATTAAGAAAAATAAACGAAATTTACGTCAAATATTAATACATCCAATGTAAATTTTTTTTTAATCTCACTTTGTTTTGCCTTATAACCAAATTTTGCAAACATATTTTTAATATAAATAATCTAAATTTCAGAGAAACAATAATTAAGAATACAACAATACAAGTACAAACTAAACTAATAAAAATTAAACTACTTAAAAGTTAAACTAGTATAAAGACTAAACTATTTAAAAGTTAAACTAATATAAAAACAAAATTACTTAAATGTTAAACTAAATAATGCAATATAATACAAACAATAACTTACAAACTAAGTATTAAAAATTTTGAATAAAAAACATTGTCTATTATTCTCTAATTTGTGGAATATAATTTTTTGGTAATGATGTTGGCAAAATTTGGGTCATGTATATATATGATACATATTTAAATGTGTTAGGGTCATTATTTATTAAGCCAAATAATAAAGTGATCTGAATAAATTAAAGTTTTGGCTAAAGGCATATGTCATGAAAATAATATTGTGTAGAGACCATAAAGTAATTTCTAATTTGATGAGGGGCCAAATTGAAAATACTAAAACTTAAGTAATTAACCTAATTTTGGTTATATAAAGGGTCATGGTCCCCTTCGAGAGCACACAGACAGTAATACGAGATACAGATCCGTTCTTTTCTTTCTATCCCCATCAAGAGAGAAAATCCATAGGGAAATACGAGTGCTCTTCGGGTGAAAGACCATAAGATCAATTCAAAGGTGCTCTACAAAGAATATTATGGCTAATTCAGGTACGCTTTCGCATTTAGTTTATATAACATGTTTTCAGTATGGGATTATAGATATATGTTTGATCATTAGGATGAAGATCATATTCAATTACAGTTTTCTTAACAAGTGGTATCAGAGCTACCCATACTTGATTCATGTTTGTATTTGGAAATTAGATTTATCAAAATTTAGATTCTATTTTAATTCAGAACCCTAAGTGAAGAATAATCTCCCAATTTTGTAAACCCTAAAATCAAATTTGGGGTTAAATTCCCAATTTTAAAACCTAGTTTCAAATTTGGGATAAATTCCCAATTTCCCATATTGAGAAAGAGGGTTCCAATTATACTGTTCGCGTGTGAATTATCCGGACACGGCACAACTGTTGGCTTAACACGAAGAATTAGAGAAGGTCGCTCGACGCGCCTCCGGATCATTAAGGAATTAAACTCGATGAAGGAGAAGAAGCATGCTAGGGCGGACAATAAACCCTTCGTTGGGCTCTTCCCTCACAACCATTTATCTTCGATCATCGGCTACTTTCATCACCACGGTTTGCAACCCACGCTTTATTCACTAATCGAAGACAAACATTTCAGTTTGGAAACGGTTCAAAATGTTTAAAATGGGTGATTCGGGAGCCTTCGGTGTTGGGATTGAACAAATTCCAAAGGCTTCTTGTTCATGCTTCTGATTCCAATTTAAATGTGCGGTTGGTGGGCGAGAATTACAGGAGTTCGCGTGGATGAACTTGGGGAAGAGAATGGAGGATTTTGAGGAGAGAGAAAATTAATTGTGGGACCCGCTGACTTAATTAAAAAGGCAATATAATGGTGTTAATGTTGTGGGACCCGCAGCCTTAATTAAAAAGTCATCATATGTGGTATTATAGTACAAATTTTTTTTAAGTGGTCCTTGAGACTAAATTTGGTTTAGGATTACCCTTATTAATATATTCAATTTTTTTGGTAGTTTAATATTTTTTGTGAGCAGATTGAGTCAAGAAGTTACCAAAGTAACATCTCTTGAATTGGGTAGTTCGTGAAAAATATTGAATGTTAGTGTTTGTGTATATTCATGCGAGTATTAGTCGGCCCAAAGGAAGATTAATATTTGGCCGAATTGCACACACACTTGTAATGATAAACATGTGATAATTATAAGGATTTGCTTTGTCGATGATAAATCAATCCAAAGACTGGTTTGTTGTTGGACGTGCTTTATTATCAATGTTTGATCATTACAACAAGATACCTCTAGCAGTTAATATTACTATCCAAAGACTTAATATTGATAGTGCATTGGGTGTCTTGAGATGGGTTAAACCATTATTTGAATATATATTTTATTTATAATTATTTATTTTTTATAATGTGAGCATAATTAGTTTATTTCTTTTGTTCTAATCCAGCTACAAATGCTTTTGTATCTGCCAACTTAAATTATGTTCC